GTGAGAATGGTCCCTACCTGATCATTCAGACAGGTCAAATCTTGCTCAATCCTAAAGAACCTGGTGTTGTGTAGTATAAGCCTAAGTGTGGGTGCAGTACAGTGTATAAACAAACAGGAAGTAATGTTCTTCATCTAGCCATCATCATTATCCAGTTCCAAAGTAGATGTCAGGTTGATCATGACAATGTTTCAGCTGGGTACAGGGAACCCAGACGGTTAATTTGAGAGGAAATTTCCATTTTAAAAAACAGTCACATATATTATCACCTTTCCTGACTGTTCAAATCATATTTGTATTTCAGGACAAGACATGAATTCACATCCTTAAACCCACATACCCAGCTGAACAACCCTGAGCAACCGTTGGGACGTTTACCTAGTGCTACTTCCTGTTCAAGCACTCCTGACCAAACAAGCTAATAGTCCTGTCCTCTGACAGACAGTAAATAAAGACAAAGAGTTATTTACTGAAGCTGCTTTGCTAATGATTAAACACTTTAAAAGTTCTTTGAAGAAAATGCACTCTAACTTGCACACCCTTACTTTTTAAAATCCCCTCTGGTGTTGTCATTGCCCATAAAAATCAGTCTCTATTGACTGTCAAAGAAATGACGCTGACATGACATGAGTCTTTGTACCCTGGAGTTATAAGCTGTGGGTAAAATAATTTAGACTATACAGTCCAAGACAACATGAAAGGCTTGTTGTGAATCACATTTAACACCTTAAGTATCTTTCTGTAAGCTCATTTAACAAATTGCATTCCCACATTAACACTCCAAGCTGTAGAATAAATTGATATTTATAACATCCTAACAAAGCAATCACAGGAAACTGGCCAATGTAACTATATCAACAATACACCAACTGTGAGAAATGACCCGCAGAGAGACTATGGGGCACAAGCTTGTCTATTTTACAGCTAGAATATAAGAAAACAAGTAAGGAAGTGAAGAATCTATTATAGAAAAGAAAAATGTAACCTAACCCTAGCTGCTCCATCTGTCACTATCCATGGCATCTTATCAACTAGCCTTTAAGATTATTTTCTTGGGTGGGATTGACAGTAATTGTGTGTATATGGTGGGTGGTATGCAAGGTGCAGGAGATCAGCATGCTAGAGACTTCCAAGAAAGACCTCCATATCGTCCTAAGAGCCAAGACTACACCACTCCTCTGCTTAGATTGACCAAACTCTGCTAAATGTTGTGAGGAAATTTCACACAGTAACACCAATGAGAGACACCTCATGACACCAATATTACACAATGGAGATGGAGCAACATGGTTAAAAAAATGTTAAATTACCACAAAAACAGGCAAGTAAATTTATGATTACATCCTTCAGTGCAACATGTACAGCATGTAACAGCAGTTGAATCCACACCACGCTGAATCTTCTTAACCTTAATTTACCTCTTTAGTTAACTCTTCAAAAAGCCTACTGCTCATTTTATGGTGTTTGTACCATGAGTTTTTCTGCTCTTCCTGTGCCAGTGATCTCATCTGATAATCAGCTCAAATAGTACAGACATGGAACCAAAAGATGTGGTGAGCAGCTGAATACGTCATTCAAACTTTAACTGACAGGAAGCGAGTCTTTTCGTCTTTCACCGACTAAAATGTTGTTACTCAATGGCTGTGTACTCATTTGTCATTGGTTTTCCTACTAGCGACAGGATTATTGACTTATGCATAAAGTCAAATACAAGCAAACTCAAGATTGTAAGAGGAAAACAGAAGACCTGTCAAATGTAAGGATAAAAAAAATACTCTCACAAAGATTCCATGCAGTGCCATGAATACTCAAACAAAGCTGGCACACTTGCTCACAAGGTATGGACTCCTCTGTCAGGAATTTTCCACTCCATAGTCACTCAGACATACAGTATATATTTACATATTCTCCCAGGGTTTTCCTCCTGAACATCAAGAGGTTGTAAAGCACTCCTGTGAATGTATAACATTAGAGGAGTGGTGGGTAATTTTCATCTTACAGAAAGACACCTGTGGGACACGAATAAGCAAACATTAGCTTAGGATCTGAATGCAATCATTCTCCTCATTTATCAAAAAAGGTCATGGAAGAGTCTCCCCTGTTGCCCTTTGTGTCAGCTTAAAAACAGCTTTAATTCAATAAATACTACTGGTGAACAGGGAACGAAACAAAATCACAATGGACTGATTCATAATTGTCTCCACTCCTTCTCCTTCAGTAGTGTGATACTGTGTCTGGTGTATTAGATTCAAGAGAAGCACCTGAGAGTTAAAGAGCTATCGGGTTGCAGCCTGTCAACTACAGTCTTCTTCTAAGATTCCTTGGCTTACTGAAGATGTACTAAAACACGATTAAAGAAAAAGCAAACAAACAAACAAAAGAAATGCTTTGCTGTAGAATGATACATGTCATTTTCCTAAATTAAAACCAGACAAGCATGTAAAAGTCCCATGAATGATTATTCTCAAAAAGGAGGGATGAGAGTCTAGTAAGCAGTTTTCTGGGGGAGGGATATCACCAATTCTAACCATATTCAACATCAACATAGTCTCAAGTAGTTTAACTGAAAATTCACTTAAAATAATATGGACAACATTTTGCTGTAGGTGCATTTACATGAAAAGAAGCGCAAAATTTCAAACAAGCTTCTTAACCTAAAACATTATATAGGCCTCCTCTCACAGAAATCTGTCTTACTCTTTTAAGAGGAGCTACAAATTCAAATTAAAACAGAGTGCTGCCAATAAGATTAGAGTGATTAGACATGTTGTCGAGTTAAATCTATCCAACAGCATGGCTCAGTCCTGTTGTCTGCACTCACAGACTTGCAAATATACTCACAGTATGTATTTATACATGAAGGTTAGGACTAAGGTGAAATCAGTGCGTGCTTGTGAACTCTCTTAAAAGACCTTTGAGCCCTATATGCACCTTTCTGCATGTCTGTAATGCTGCAAACCTCGCTTGAGGGAATATCCCACAATTCATACTGGTAAGAGTGAGGAACAAATCAGACCTATCACTACTTCAACAAATTACAATATTAAAATACCACTAATACTCTAAAGGAGACCATGTCATAGAATGACTTCTTTCTTTTACTCAATTACAGATTAGAAAATGGGAATAAACTGTGTTCATTGACAAAAAAAGAGACAAGGATTTTGCTGAAGCTTGAAAGTCATATAAGATTTTCAAATTTGCATTGATAACACAGCCCTGCCCATGTGCCACATGTGTAGTTGTGTGAGTGCGTCTGTTGGGGGGGAGGGAAAGCAGACCAGCAAACTGGTTTGACAAATGTCTTGAAGAGCTGCCACTTTTACAACAGAGAAAACACTACAGTATGTCAAAGGTTGTAACAGGTTTGAATGGTATAGAAGGCTGTGCGCCCTCACATGAGGAAGATTTGAATTCTGGATCATCAGTTATGCTGATGCTGTAATCGATGGCCTTCACTTCAAGCAGTCTGCCCTTAATCATCAGAGCAGCACTGAGGTGTGTTTATGGTGCAGTTGCTCGTGATACAAATGAATGGCATGAAAAAATATCCTGGTAGTCAGAGAGACTTTTTGTGTGGTAATCTTTAGAATCAGCAACAAAATCAGCTATATGTGTTTCAGATCAAAAATGAGGAACATAATAATATGGTCTAAAAGCAAAAACCAAAAGTGACTCAGAAGAAAACAATCTGTGCTTTAAAAAAAAGCTCAGATTGCCTGTAATTTATCGAAGGAAAGAATACACAAAACAAATTTTTGCAAACTGCACTTCCAATGAACTTCATTACTACAGTTTCTGTTTTCATGTTACTTAAAAAATGACAAAGCCAATGAAATCTTTAAGATCAAAGAGCAGCTGATCCTGAGTTAGCTACACAATACTGACAACCGTTAATGGCTTCCAGGAGGCAGGATGCAAGTTTTAACATGTCAAGGAGACATTACACACAGTGTACATATTAGTACAACACTCTTCAGGCCCAGAAACAACACAATAACCTATGTAGATTATTGTATTGCATTTCTCCTGCATTTTTTCTCCAACAAGATACTCCAGGTGCATGCAGGATCTTGTTCTTTTCAGGCTGAGTGATAAGTAGCAAAGCTAGATCTCAAAACTATCTCAGATTGTAATTCTGATTAAAAGACAAGCTGTGATGTTGTGAGGTTCACAGCGGGGTGGCCATGCAGCAGTTCCTGCCCTAATAACACAGCCATCATCTGGACAAGCCTCCAAGTCAGCACTGCCTCAATGACTCACCCAGGCCTTGCTGAGTCAAGTGGAATGACTCCTGATGCTGAAAAACTCATAAAGTCATATTGAAATAGAAACTGGCCTAGGGGATACACAAAATAAGCTTGTGACATGCAGGTTTTTCGTTAAGTCAAACACAAGCTGACTGCAGCCTATGTTAGATTTGGGCTCTCCTTCATTTCACAGTCGACCTGCTGATTGAGGTCAAAACCATGTTTAGTCGTACATACTATATAATATGCAACAAGGTCTTGGATGTGATCTCAGTGTCTGGATATCACTGTTAAGTGTCTCTGAGAAAGCATACGCCAACAGGGCAAGAACATGACGCCTGGAAAATCCACCCGTGATTCCAGCAATTCCTATTTTAAAATGTTATTGGAGGCAGTGTATGATAACATCGGAACAGCTTACAGAGAGGGTAAGAGAGAGAGAAATATTTAATCATCTTGAACAAGCGTGCCTGTGTGAAAGCAACATGGACATGGCTTAAGAGCACAAAAATATGCCGCACTTCTTCAGGCCAGAGGAGGAAGGCAAAGTTAGTCTAAACAAATTTAAAGGCGACTTATGACAGCAAATGGTATTAAACCTTGTAAAATAAAATCTATTAAACGTGACGACGCATCCTCGGAAGAGGATGATAAAAATTTGAACTGGAATAAACCCATCGTCAGTTAGTTACCTAGCAACATGGCAGCACGGTAATGACAAATTGATGGCTTGCAATGCTCATCACATACCTGGACCTGATGCACACCAGCGATGCACCTCTGGCTTCACCACACTCCAGCACTGAGCAAATCAAGAGTTCATCGGCCTTTCTCTGCTCTTCGGGGTCAGTACTTTCACCAATTACTCGGCTTTTCCCTTCAGCACGAAGCAGCTGCCGACTTGACGAGGTATGGAAACGATGCCATAACTGAGATGAACGTAACGAAAGTCAGCCACTGATTTCCTTTACCACGCCGTTTGTTTGGCCCTTCAGCAGAGGAAGGGGTGTGGGTACGACATGTAAAGATGATAAGTAGAGAAACATCATCAGCCCGGGAGTTTTTTTTTTTTTTTTTTTAAACTGATATCAGCCGCCGTTTCTGATCGTGTTTACAAAATCTGGCCACATCATTGCGCCGGAGAATCGCACGCTGGATTTCCTCAATCGACAGACAAGGCCAACGTAGCGATGGTAACGTTAAATGTCCTTGAATATCCAAGCTGCCCTCGCAGGAGTTGGCGGCTCGGCTCGTCCTGTAGCGAGGGAAATGGACCGGCTGTGGTCTCAACCCAGCAGCTGCCGCCTCCGTCCAGAGAACCGGGAAGAGTGAAGAACAATCAGCTGAAGAGCACCCGCCATCGTAAGTTGTCACTCCTCAAGTCTGAACCGCTGCAAGACTTCACAGTCCTTTCAGACACGACACAAAGTGTTGTCAAGTTAGTCCAAGTGCAACGAGTTTTCCGGTAGAATTTTCGAAATAAAAGTCTGACCTGCTGCGCGTTTAGGGTGTTTAAAGTTGCAAAATGTGCAATGTGGCCAAAAACGGCTATTCCACCGAGCATATAAACTCGCTCTTTCTTTCCTAAAATGACAATGTCAGGCAATATATCTTTAACTATATTAGTCCCCCTATCTCAAATACAGCAAATAGTCGCCTACAGTTGCACTCATTCAAGGCCTATCTAGGTTAAGAAAGAGAAAATAATATGGTCCAAAAAAATAGTACACAGCAGCACTAACACTGACAGGATTGATCACACAACTTCCGGTGTTTGTCTTTTCCTCTGTGGGCTTGACGAAGCTCTGACCCGCACAGACATTCATCTGAGCAGTTTCGATAGTTGGACGCCTCCTGCTGGCAATGCAGTATATGGTTAAACGGGTATCGAGTGGTTACGTATTTCAGCAGACACAAACATTATTATAGGATGTAAAGTTATAAATGTTATTTTTTTTGCAGTCAGCGCCTGGCAATGTATCATTCATGCAGACTGATGTGTCTGCATGTCTGGCATGCAGCGAAGGGCAAACCTACTTATAGCCAGTTTCACCATAGTTATAATTTTAAATGTATCTAGGGACGTCTGCTTTGATAATAAACATTTACTATGATATAAAAACAAAGTATTTTTTTCATATAGGTGGTGGGGACCTCAAGGTCACAGATTGGATGTCATAGCTTATCAACCTTTCTAATTGACCACTGCATCAACTTTTAACTGTAAATTCTGCATGCATAAAGTATGTTAATATTTCTGTGAAGCATATCTTATAAGTTGACAAAAACACTGAGTAACCTGCCTTTAGTAAATTCTTGTTTAAATTGTGCACAGCACTTCACTGTCTTCTTACCTTTCATAATGTATATTATATTTTATCATTATATTTATACTGTTGAGAGTATCTTTGTTTTTTAAAATCTTTGCAGGCATAAAATACACAACCAATCATGTACTTATGTCTTCTTTTTCTATTCCACACAAACATATAGATAATATTATATATTTTATACATCTTACAGAGCAATAGCTACCTGCACTGCTTTTTTTTTTTAATCAAAAAAGGAGAAACTAGGCTGCTACTGCACCTCAGATGGAGAACAGTGAGCCTGTTGAGTTTCACATCTCTTACAGAATGAGAAAAGTATTTTCACTGACTGCCTTGGCCTAATGTTTCATATCACAACAAATGGTCAAAATCTGATCAAACTGCAAAGCTTTGAATTCTCAAAGACTCAACAATAATCAGCACCCCCATATCTGCTTTGATCTCTGTCTTCATGGTATGAGTAACCAAAGATAAGAGAGATATATAAGAATGGTATTCTGACATGGGGCTACACTACATTTCGAATGAAGTTTCCATACACAATTTGTTAAAAACAGATTTTTGACAGTTAATATTGTAGAGATTACCCTTTTTGTATCAGTAAACCTCTTACATGAAAAATGTCTAAATCTGATTCTGAATACAGCAGGTTGCACATTAATGGAAAGGTGAGTCTTTTGCAAGATCAACATATGAATGACAAGGTCAAGGTTGAAATGTAACAAAATGAGGGCCAGTATTAATGTGGGCACTAAAGATAAAGTTCAAGTAATGAGAAATGCACCTCCCCCACGTGCAATATCAGAGAGATGTCATCACAGGTCAACAGAGAGATTGTCTTTTCCATGTGGCCTATATAGTTTCCTGATTTAATAATTATAGTCTATGTCAAGGGAGAGAAGAGGACGCATTACATCACAGTCAATTTATATCCATATGAAAAAAATGTTTGAATCGTTTTTGTGATTAAATGTATTTATAGCCTTAAATAGGCATCCACAGTTTCATTAAATAAATTGCACCTTTTTAGGAATCCTGCTTAAAGTACAACAGATAGAAATAATTTAGATATTTAATGTAAATGTAATGTAAACAATAATGTGTTGTGGCACATGTGGCATTGCTTGCAGTGATGAACACCTGCAACTGACAAACATTACAAAGTTAAAATTGTATCAAATTCAACAGCCATGTCTTTTGAAGTGTAAAACAGAGTGTGTTATGTCATATGTGATGTGAATGTGACAAATAAATAAATAAATAAATAAAACAGCAAACCTGCTGCACTGTCAAGGGAAGTGGTAATTATTAATCCATTGCTTTATTCCATCATGGTCTTGCTGAAGCATTTGTTAGAGTGAAAAAGGGGTTTCATGTTATTACTGCATCCAAAATGTCTCCAATTCTGAAATTGTTCTTCCAGCAGACTTGGAAGTGGTCACCTTGGGTTTATAGTTTACAAATGATTTGAACAATAAACTTTAGATGATTTCAACAGTGATACATTTGCATGGCAGAAAAAGTATCAAAATGTCCTTAGAACCTTCTTGAACCACTTCTGCAGCATAATACACTTGTCTTGTGTCTTTATATGCTCAGTATGTTCAAAACAGTATCAAATCCAGATCAGTGTCTTGGCTGGAAAGCCTAGTAAAGTGAGTAGAGTGCGAATATCCAGGTAATATATAACCTAGCACAGAAAGAGCGAGGGCAAAAGGTTTCCTTCACACCTGTTGCTAGTTAAGTTAATTACCCTTCACAGCAATCAAGCACCGAACTTCCAGAAAGTTGGAAGGGACCTCGCCATTGTAAACTTGATATCTAGCTTCCAGCCTTAGCCACCATTCACACACAGCTACGCCTTTCGTACCTGCTTGGAGTTTTTTTCAGCGATTCAGCGAACCGACACACAAAGCGACACACGATGGCGGCAGAGGGTCAACATAGACCTACTATTTTGGCCACGAAGAAAAGCACAGCGAATGTTGATTGGATGATAGGTCACGGGAGCGTAGAAGAAGACATGACAGAATGAAAACAAGACCACACATTAATGACCGTGAGGCAGACAGAAACATAAAATGCAGTGACGAAGTCTTTGATGAAGAAACTGGTATTTCTGTTCGGTGAAATACAACGTGATGTAATGTAATCACTTTGTATGTTTGCTCGCAGAACCCCCAAGATCCGCTTTGTATTTCACTTATTTAAAGAAATGTCACGGCTTTTCCCGTTCATCACATCTATCTATAGTATGTCCAGTCGGGTCGGATTGAGAGGGTCTCCCAGTATGTCTGCACTTATTCAACCACTCCCAGCTGGACTTACATGTGTTTTTGCAGCCGGCAAAAAGGACCTGATAGACCTTCCTGTCCTGAATGAGGACGAGCTTGAAGAGCAGTTTGTGAGAGGATCTGGACCTGGGGGACAGGCCACCAACAAAACCAGCAACTGTGTGGTGCTCAAGCACATCCCCACTGGGATTGTAGTAAAGGTAAATCCCTTTAAATTCTGTGTGTACTTGTCATCACTGGTATCTGTGTGTAGAAATGTTAATAGTTAAATAAGGACCCAAATCAAAGTAATGCGAAGTCCATTCTTTGGAAACAGCAGCTGACAAAACGGTCTCACCTCAAGGTCCATGTAGTAACTGTTCAGGTGCTTTCAGTTATATAGCACGGTCTTAGTCAGCAGATGCCCAGTTGTCATGAAAATGTAGATGAAATTTCCTTTTCTTTTGGCTTAAAAATTGAGTTTCACAATTCATAGAAGTCCTTAAAGTGCTAAGAAAAAATGGAAATGATGCTGCCTGCAGAATAGATCTTAAATACACCTTGAGGTGAGACTTTTATTACAAGCAAAGTTATGTGAATTACCGTCAATGTTCATGTAATCTTTTGTACCATTTTCCTTCCAGTGCCATCAAACCAGATCTGTGGAAATAAATCGAAAACGTGCCCGGGGAATTATGAGAGAGAAACTTGATGTTGCATATAAAGGAGAACTCAGTGAAGTTCTTGTGAAGAAGAAAGAGTCTGTGCTGAGGAAACAAGAGAAGAAGAAGAAGGCACATGAGAATCTGGAGAGAAAAAGACTGTTTAAAGAAGCACAGGTTGCAGATTCTAAACCTGGGAATGACACTGTTTAAAATGTTTGCGTGGAATATAGACAGACAGGAGTACTGTACTCTAATGGTCGTGTATTTTATGCCAGCAAAGGGTAAGAGACAAATTTTCAAGTATGGTTTAAAAAATTATCTACAGCAAGATTGCTGAAAATGTATTTATTTATCATTTATTATTATGTCTTCTTAGATAAAGTAATAGGAGCTTCAAAATTCTACTGACTGAACCATGCTTTTAAAGTCGCCCTCCACTCAAATTGTGTTTTGGTCATTATTATGTCTCTTGGATGTTTGACCTTCATTGTGCAGTGACTGTCACTGGAAGACTGCTTTCAAATTCTTCTGCTGAAACTGGAAAGTTTTGTAAGCCAGGCAACTTACACAAGTGTGATCTGGAAACTTGAAGCATGCATTACACATTCACTGATAATGGACATTCAGTGATGTAGGAGACATCTTGAGGGAGTGAGAGAGGAGGTGTAGATGTAATTTTAAGAATTTTTAACCAAGAAATTTAACACAAATTATTATTCAGAGTATTTTTATATATTTTCAAGCATGCCTGGATCATAAAATTTTCTTTCTGCTCACCATTTTATACACTAAGTTGGCAGTTTATTGCACCTAGCTAAAGGTCTCCTATTGCACTTAGTGCACGCTTTAGTGTTGTCCATCACTTGTAAGTTGCTTTGGATAAAAGCGTCTGCCAAATAAGTAAATGTAGTAATTGAATGTAAAAGCAATACAGTCCCATAGAGCAGTGCAGAAAATCCAACCTTTCATGGCGGTTATAATGTTAAGTTTGTGTTGAAACTGTTTCATAAAGGTGTTGATTCAACAATGGTCATTAAGATGGCAGTTTTTGGTGCTTTTGAATTGTATAGCGTTATACAGAGGTGGATAAAATAATAGAAACACCTGTCTTGAGCAAGGTGTACCTAATAAACTGCCATTTGAGTATATACCAAAAACACATGCATTGTTTGTTATGCATTGAATTAACATTGTAATTAAATAATATTTTATTTTATAACTCTTATTTAATTCAGGTAACCCCGTTGAGATAAGGCTCTCTTTTGCTAATGGAGTACAGCAAAGTTTCTGAGTTTTTGGTGGGGGACATTTCAGCACGAGACGTTTACTTTTGCTAACCGTGGCCAATGAGAGAGCTACTTTCATATTCGTGCCACTCCCGCCTGGACGAAACAGCCAATGAGAGGAGCAGTAGGGTTTTTAAATCCACCACGCTCCCACCTCCCCACTCCGCAGTGTGATGCTCAAATGTTTGTGGTTGCAGGAACAGTGAACTAAACACGGGGCAACATTTAATAGACTCCTCGCCCTCTTTGGATTTTATTGTGGCGACTGAGATGGCAAAAGGTAAATTTGCTAATTTCCCGTGGTTTCGGTAATTGTGCATGTTATACAGGCTACAGTAGTTAATGTGTAGCTAACGGCTATATGCATGCTAGCGTAAATGGAGGACCAACATCATTTAAATAAACTTAGCTGATGTTTACAAATAAAACTCACCGGTAATGGCGAGCTTTTGTATAATGTTCATTGAATTAGACAGTAGTGTTTATACTTGTTTATTTTCATGTTTATAAAGGGAAGAAAAACGTGCTGAGAACCGACATAAACCCCGAGGACACAGCTGAACATAAAGTCACTTCACGGAAAGAGACAAAGGAAAACAAACCAGCAACTAATAAGGTTTGTTTTATTGTTTGGTGTTATGCTTTGCAGCTTCTCTGGTCGCCAATTAAAGTAGAAAACAAAAACTCTTTTCACAGTCTGGAAAGGACACATCCCTTTAAAGGGGTCCTGTCTCAGCTTGGCGTCGTAGCAACGGATGTAATTTTAATTGACGAACTAACCAGACTGCAGGAAGCCTCGTATTGTTTGTAATCAACGTTACCCAGATTTGAGCCCTTTAGGCAAAACCTACCCCAGGTTGTGCACAGCTCCTTTTATAGCTTTTACCAATTGTAAGGTTAAGTTGTAGACAGAAAGTGTATCCATAGATACACCATCGCCATCGGTGTAGGGAATAGAGCTGAATCTTTGAGATGTAAACATATGTTTCATTGTTACTGGAGAAACTGCTTAGTGAGCAGCACATACATCATCACCGTTATTTACAGTGGGCTATAATTTTTTGAAATTGTTGTATGCAGCCATAGAAACCACACTTTATTATTTTTTAATATTTTATTAATACACTAACCAGAAATTCTAATACATATTCTGCCAATAAGAGATACTTTTACCATGGAGACTGAACCACTCTGAGCTGGAGATAACAGGCACTGATAAAGTCTTCATCAGCTACCAGTCTGTTCACTGTTTTCTGTTGACTCCAGCATGTTTTTTAAGTGATTCACTTAATTCAGAAATGTACGGACAACTTGCCTCTAAATTCCATCGTCTTGAACTTGCATGCATGCATGCTGAGTGTTAAGGGGCAGAAATAAAGACATTAAATACAGTCTGCACCAGCTACATGGTACTAAACACAGGCTTGTAAAATATGATATCTCATGTATTGCATCTCATCAGATTTGCATACTAGATAGTGAAGCTGAATGTGTATATGTCTTATAAGGTTTACTCTGGGGATTGGTGCAGGGTTTTTCATTTTTTCACCAAGGTAAATAATAATTCTTTTTGCAGGATTGCGTAGGTAAAGTGCCGTCAATTTTCCAGAGTCTACGGAGTCCGAGCAAACCTAGATCCCCCCTGAGTGACAGTTCAAGCATGCTGATCCAGGAAGGAAACGAATCTGATGCTGCTAATCCTGACATGTCAAAGCTGAAAAAAGGTGAAAAGATTCAAAAACATTTTGAATCAGCTAATGTGAAATGCTGTTGTTCGGTTATTTCTGTTACATGTAATCTCCCTGCCACTTTGCTGTCTACCCCCGTGTTACCTTGTGGTCAGCAGATCCACATGTACCACAGAAAAATTTCCTGTGCAAGTGAATGGTAGCAGTGTTCACTTACGTTCTATCTTATGACACAACTTCACTGTGTTTTTGAAGGAACATCACTGTCTTGATTAAGGCTAAATGGTTAAGGCAGCTGTCAGTTTCATTCTTTGTGTCTTCCTCATTTTAGACATACCCAATGAAATGAAATCTGAGAGTTGTGAGTCCAAAGAGCATAAGCCTGAAATGCCTTGCCACAGTCATGGGACCATAGAGCAACTCACTGACCAGCCTGATCAAAAAGAGTCCACCACACACACAAATGCTAGGTCTGCAGCAGACAGCAAAGCTCCAGCATCCAAACCTCGGAGTAGAACTGGTCACAGGCTCAGAGCAAAAAAGTGAGTGCACACAGCCAACATGTCTAGACTTGAAAAAATAATAATAATTATAAGACATGGGCCCTTTCACAGCCAGTTGCTCAGTCATAATCATTACATTACTCTCATTACTTCTGATAATGTCTGTTTTCAGGTTGGAGAATAAAGCTCCCCAAAACAGAAAGGTCACAGACTATTATCCCATCAGACGGAGTAACAGAAAAACTAAGGCAGAGTTAAAGGTTTGTATGAAAAATGCCGTTATAAGAAGGGTTGCACATTTAAATTTAAGTTATAATATCTGCTTTTTTAAAGGTTATTTGTTTAGCCTTTTCCCATCCATATGTGTGAAAACATATTTTGATTACTCAAATCAAACAGAATGAAGAACACAGACACATTGATGACCTGATAAAGAATGGCATTGAAGAAGGAATGCAGGTAAAATTTTATTTTTAATCTAGAGCATACTGTATGCAGAGCACTGTGTACATCTGTGATATTTTCTGTAAATTAGTAACTAGGACTGAAGATTTTCTTGTTTGTGACATATTTTAATATTTGTACTATGGTTAAGCAATTCTTCCATCTTTGCTGAATCAAATAAGCTTCATTGCTTTTGAATGTAAATAGGTCAAAAACATTGAAGGAAAAGGAAGAGGGGTATTTGCTGTCAAGGGCTTCACAAAAGGAGAATTTGTTGTGGAGTACCATGGAGACCTACTGGAACTACCTGAGGCTAAAAAAAGAGAGGCCCAGTATGCTCAGGATCCCCAAACAGGCTGTTACATGTACTACTTCCAGTATCAATCAAAAACATACTGGTAAGTTCAAATGTCACCACTTTGAAACGGGATCGACACATGGTGTCACATTTTCACACATCGTATTTAGTTTCTCTGTTCAGTTTGTCAGCTTCCTAGGAATCATTAATTGTAACTGTACACCTGGGGAAATTTCTGGACCAAAGTGCATTTTTTACAGAACTGTTCAATAAGATCACCTGGGTATAAAAACAAGTTGGTCAGTAAGTCTTGACAGTCACTGTCTTAGAAAGCTTTCGCCCCACTGACTTTAACATTAAAAGAAGGAAATTAGTTCTTCTAATTTAACTTTCCTCGTAATAATATAATTCCTAGATTCCAATAAGATTGCAGTAGTCTTGAAAATGGAAAATTTTCTCCAAATTTACTGCCTGACTTTATAGGGTGGATAACTGCTGTAGTGACAGTTTTCTTTGTTTATGTATTACAGTGTTGACGCAACAAAGGAAACAAGTCGTCTTGGAAGACTGATTAACCACAGTAAAACTGGCAACTGCCAAACAAAGCTCCACGCCATCGATGGAGCTCCCCATCTGATCTTGGTGGCTTCCAGAGAGATCAAAGCAGAGGAGGAGCTGCTCTATGACTATGGTGATCGGAGTAAAGACTCAGTCTTGGCTCACCCTTGGCTCAAATACTGAAACTTCAACCCACGAGTGTTCGTATTTCAGATGAATTGGTGCTCTCTGCTGTCCTGCTTATCTTTTTTGTAAAAGATGATACTGATGAGCAGTCCTCCACATGCTTTTTTTATGAAGTATAAAAATGCTTTTGTTTTAAATGGAGACGAAAGCTTTAACTCATGAAAAGTGTATTTTTGCAACAATTGTTTTTATCATGCTTTTATAAATTTCTTATCTAATTGTAGCAGAGATTTAAGCTTGAAGTGTCTCTCTCCTGGATAAGTAGTGTTTCACATTGTCCGTGGAGTTTTCTTTTGTAATGAATATAATTCTGACTATTCAATTTGCAATTGTAAATTATTAACTGTGCTGTAAATTGAGGAATAAAACAAAATTGAATTCTCATTGCACTCCAGCTTTATTACACAAAGCCACTTGAAGACTTATTTTCAAGCCTATAGATAACTTCATTTTGAGTGAATGCTTTCAGCATAATCTCCAACAGTAGCTAAATAATACTTTCCAGTTACATTTGATGTCAGCAAACATCCCACGTAATATATACTGTATTTCCACTACAATAACTCTGTTTTACCATAAACCATCTTAGGTTAAAATTACAAGTACAAATACAGCGCTTGTTAGACTGACAAATACACATTGTAAAAAATAGTCAATATAAAAGTGGTTAACTGATGAGAAAAATGTGCCGACAAATCCTGTTTGTCTTCTACATGGTCAGTTCTTCAGTTTTTCTTATTTTCGCCTGAATGAAAACCTATAAACAGAAAAAAGTCCACACTTAGTTTATGGAGTTTGTTACCGAGCACGGAGGGGTGATCATGGAGCATAAATGTAAAACTGCCCAGTGTCAGAAAACAACATTGAGTCATGGCAGCCTGTAATTACTGACAGCAGTTTGGCAGAAGCACTGCCAATTTTCAACTTCTCTCTTTTCTCTCATTCAGTGCTCACACAAACATCCTCAACGTAGGAATGAATTCATTTGGTCACAAGTATGTCATTATGAGACAGGAGACGGGCTGTGAGAACAGTCTTCCTACTAGCTTACTTCACCATCATGTGGTTGCTGCTGTAGATTTTCTTAAAACCTTGCCATCTGAGGTGAACAGCTGAATACAGTCCTATATCTAGAAATAAATGTTTTGATTATTTTGCGCTACTTCTTTGTGGTCTGCACATTCATATTTCTGTATTCAAAGAAAAAAATTCTGCCTGTTACTCACAATTTCCCTATGGTTGTCTTCTCCTCTTTTACATCATTTATTGTGGCTGGACTGGGCTCTGTAGCTGTTGGTTTCTCCAGATCCACTTCCACCATGGGTGGTTCAGCCTGTGGCAGAATCCCACTGCAGAAGAAAGTACAGAGTTATGGTCACTGACAATATTTTGTGTCGTAGGTGCTGTACATCAAAAGGAGTCTTAAAAACAAAATCATCACTGTCAGATAGTAGTTATTGTGATGTTGTGATGTAAAGTGATTTCGTCACTTCAAAACTAGAATCGGTGTTACCAAAAAGATAGTTTGAGCTTCATAACATCAGTGCAGGTCATTTCTACTGCCAATGTTTACAAAATGTGCCTAATTGTGAGTCTGAGACTGTTGGGCACTATTTGTCAAATTAGCAATAGAAGAGAATGATGAGTGTATGATTAAAAAGAAAAACAATAACAACAACTGATTACTACAAATAAGTTATGTCTGTATTTGTCTGTATTTGCAGAAATACTCGGTATGATTCTGTATAACAGCAGAGTAGGGGAGAATAATAACAGATATTGGTGTCTATTTAACAAAATAGAAGAAAATATCTCGGGTGTATATTAATGTTAGACATGTACCAATACAAATATTGTCAGTGTGTCTAACAGGAAGCCTACAGGTGGTCTCAACAGTATAGCCCATCATTCTTATATATATTATTTATCAGTTAAAACAATAAGCTGTACCATTTAGATGAACATTTTTACAATGGAGTTTCCACTGACCAACTGATTTATTACCTACACCTAAAAAATCTCATGTAGTACCAGCAACAGCCCTGCAATAATTTGTGGTATATGGTCATTAGTGGTGGTGTTGTATTAGATTACACTATAGCAAGGTATTTCTAATGCTCTGTCCTCTTCATGTGTTGAAAATGGGTGGAAAAGACATTACTAATGAAGTTGAATTTTGCAACAAAAACCTTTGAATAAATCCTGTCTTAGAGTTGACTTTAAGCTCAGTTGTTTACCTCTTGTACAGCTGGAGCTCCTCCTGAGCCACCATGAGCTGAGCCTTCAGCTGGTTCCTCTCCTGCAGCACCTCCTTCAGCTCCTGCATGGTGAACCGCGGTCTGTTGGGGTCTGTGAGGTCCACCACCAGCTGGTTTGGCCCCGCTGTTTGCTTTTGACGGCAGACAGGAAAAGAATCTCTAAACATCCACTCTTTTCTGACAGCCACTTCAACTGTACAAGACGGCTGACATATACTGTAACACTCACCGTGCCCTGCCCGGAGGAGCTCTCCTTTATGATCCTGTCCAGTTCACTCTTCAAGTTGTCCCGCTCCATTTTCAGCTCCTCCAGAGACAAGTTGTACTTATTGACCAAAGTCTCGAACATTTCTAAAACGCGGACTATTCTGAACTGCAAATCCGACACTTCTTCTCCTGTGCTGCTTATTTTTAGCAAATCTCGTCCGATTACGTACGAAATGTCATAAACATCTTCGACCGTGAGCTCAAACGCGTCCTTCTCGAAAGCCAGAGCGGGCGACGACTCTTCGCCAAACTCCATGACAGAACAACGCCACTACTAAAAACACCGGAATAAAGTTAACTTTCCTCCACCAGCGATTACTTACAAGTTTTCTTTCTTATACTTTACTGGCAGAAGGTAACCAACTTTCAGAGGAGCTACACTTCCCCCATCACTCACCCGCCAATGGCGTGACTCGTTGGGCAGCGGAGGAGGGCAAAGTATCCTAGCGACAGGTGAGTACAAAGATCGTTGCATGGCTCAAGAGAACTCCCTCAACACTGTCGACCTGTTCGCCCCGGACTATGTTTTTCACGGACCAGAGAGCGAGTGAGACGAACATAAGTTACAGCTCTCAATTTTTCACTTCCCTGTATCGAAGGCGTATCAGAATCAGGTGAGAAAGCATTTGATTGTGACTATACCATCTTTTTCTAAATTTTTTGATATTTTATGTCATATTTGTGAGACTGAAATGATCCAGGTAACATTTAATGATGTCCAATAATACCATCATCAAAACTAAAAAACATAATTTTAAGGACATAAACACCACATATTGTATCTAGCATACTTGTCTTGGCAATATTAGTATTTGAAAGTAACACAATAAAAATGGTTTAAAAAAAAAGAAAAACTTTATTACTTTACTCTGAAAAAACATTTTACAGATGCAACCTAATTGATTGATAGTTAAAGCATGTTTTTACAGTAAGCATTTTTGTTGGAATATATTTCTCCTGGTGTTTTACCAGCGTGATTGTACTAGTGTAAACAAGAAGGTGCGGTACCAGACTGTAGTGCTGTAAGTAACACCCTCAAAAATTTAGAGGATGACTCAGTGCAGGCAATAAGCACATTATATCATAGTCTTTTAGAGGAATATAGAGGCACATGGTCATCTAACTCATTCACTGAGCCTTGAAACCAGACTAAAACATCTTATTTAACATGATTATATATAGAACATATATGCCATCAGATACATTTTAATATCACGAGACATAATGTCTCATCAGCTTTGTAGGTATTACGACAGCTGGACCTATTTCTAACTCATGATGGTGTTATCCTGAGGCCACTAAGGAACTTTAAAGTGAAAACTCAATTCAATAATCCATATTACAGGCACTACTTGCCATACTGGCAAGCAAATATATTATGCATTGAAGTGAAACCATTTCTGAGCTAGGAGCAGGCACTGTAGTGAGAACATTAGATGCTAAGTTATTTGACAATACAGCAGCATGTATTGCATTACAAATAAAGAAGCATAACACTGTTATATATCAAGTGAAGCACTGATAGATGGTGACTGAAGTCACAAAACCCTGAGAAGTCATAAATACACATAAGCAAGTCCAGGTTTGGCCAGTTGTCTCACAAGGCTTACCAAGTTAGCTAAAATGTTACCAAAATATAATACAAAAGTTGACGCCACTAAAAACAACAGTGGTTCATTCATCACAGTTACAAGTAATACAGCCACTAAACTTGTACTTTACAATTCATGTAAATATGTCTGTTGGCAAACTGTGCTGAGAGAAATAACTGGTGTTGACTTGGTGTGAAAATAAGAGCAATTGTACTGGGAGAATTTAAATGCAAGGTCATACAAAGGAAACAAGTCTTCTGATTGGCAACAGTGTGGGATCATCTGCGATCAAACCAGCTGCCACCATTGGCATTATGGCAGTGAAGATCCTGGTAGTGGTGACACAGCAGGGCAGACACAGAAGAGAAATTCAGAGTTAGAGAGGAAACACAAAAAGCATCAGAAGCATTGTTGTGATCAGTAGTATATGTTTTGAGACCCTCTGTCACCCACAGTGACACTCCTGTAAAATCAGTTAAGTATGTTAACTGATGATGTTTATAAGATTATGGTGACAAATTATATAAATGCAGTGCCACAGGAGAAATTAAAAACAGGGCAGTAATATGCTTGTCCGCTTGAAAATTGCAGGATAAACCCCGGTGTATCAAGAAAAGCATGTCATGTCATGTGCATTACTCACAAGCGTCTAATTCCTGATTCAGGTTGATCAGTGGAACTGTGGGTCGGTGGAGGAGATGAAGTACAAACAATGGAACCGATGTCATCCTCAGACTCGTCACTGGGGGATATGGAAGGGGTAAGCTTAACTATTGCATCAGTGTTTTTTAAAACTGAGTCAAAATTTCAAAACAGACCTTTTGTAATATGCCAGCTCTTCCTGTAGCACGAACACTTGGGCCTTCAGTTCGTTCCTCTCCTGCAGCACGTCCCGTAGCTCTTGCAGAGTGAAGCAAGGTTTGTCGGACTCCTGCTCCAGGCTATCTGTCTCCTCCTCTGCATCAGTTGGCGCCTTCTGCAGTCAAAACACATATTGAGTATTTCTGTCTGCACAACATGGACACACTGACACAAACAAAGAAATAGGTAGCTCAGAAATTCTGCATTAGGCAACAGTGGTTGTTTACAATGAATACAGAGTGACTTTAACAGAGGATATTACTGATTTATGTTCACTGAAACAATACAAAAGGCTTAAATCATATATATATATATATATATATATATATATATATATAAATCATATACCTAATGACATGGTGTTTAAATTTAAAAAAAAGTTAAATATTTCTGTGTGAACTGAAAGCATGTCACATCATGAAGAGACATGAAAATTGTCAGTGACCCAAAGCAAAGACATAATGCTTTGTGTACAATAGAAATACTCTTTTAGTGGGCCTCTGTACATGGCAGAGCTTAAGCAGGTGTGTTACCAGTGACAAAGCTGTCGTGTCCTCATCTTCATCACCCTCCACCTCCTTATTTTCTCTGTTAGATGACCTTGAGAGAAGGGAAGGACTCTTGTTGCCGTCATAACAGTTCGCCATGAAGACAGGGTCCCTTCTGCACTCCACCCACACTGAATCTGGTTTGAAGGAGTTCGATGGTGCTGCTTCTGAGGACTGGATTTGTGACATTAAACAGCCACTTAGACAGTACAAAGCCTGCCAGACCTAATGAGCTTTAACCAAACATAGTTTCAACCTAATTATATTCATGGCATATGGCTTGTTTAAGATGGGCCCTTTTTTGTTTTCTTACGGTGATATGTGGTGATGCAGGTGGTGACATCCCAGATCTTGTAAGAGAGCACTCTGCTATCTCAGTGATCTCTCTCTCCAATTCCCAGTCCCGGAGCTCCCTCCTCAGCCTTGTGACCTCCAACTGCAAAGCCCCTATCTCCTGCTGCCGTGCCTGAGCTGCTGCCTCCAGCTCAGCCCTCTGCTGGATCAGTGCCTTGCCCTGGGTTTCCATCACTCCTCCCCTGTGACGAAGGTCCTGGTTGATCCTTATCAGTCGATGCTGCTGCATCTGGAGCTATAGTTGAGGGAATTTGTTTTATGGCTTCACTAATTTCAGTCAAGGACAGAAAATTGTAAACTTAATATCTTCTTGGGGAACAGTATTTGTGATGTACGCAGTCGAAATGCTCACCGCCTCAACATCCTCGTTTCTTAGTGTTAGCTCATGGTCTTTAGCCCGGATTTCATCTCTCTGTTTATCCACCAAGTCTTCCAGCTTCTTCATTACTTGTCTTTCTTTTTCTGACATTCCTGCTAGAATCATAAAAAAGGCACAGAGAAAATGCTCACACATGTAACATCAGTGCAATCTAATAAGAGGATGTGCACTACCATGCAATTCAACAGATAAGAATCCACATCAGTGTTCTGAGTTTTCACCACAGAGCCTTTTTCATTTACATTACCATTTTCAAGTTAAAAGAAAATGTTCACTGTGATGGATTACATTATCTCAAACACATTCCAAGTCTCTGAAAGTTGACTGGTACACTACACAAAAATAAAACAGATCAATCCAAAAAGTTACAGTATGCTTTGAAAAACTGCTATCAGTAGTGTAAAGTATACACAATTTGCAGTCGACCACAAAACCTTTAAAAGCTGGTCTCTTTAAGTCTTGCAGGGTCACCCTCCTGGTATCAGAGCCTCTGTTACACCATGAATGTATTTTTGTAAACAAATAATGTGTCAGTGAGCAGAGTAATGCAGCACCTAATCATTTGCATGTACATGTACATATTAATAAGCAGTCTGTGCTGTGGCCCATGCAAGTCACACAGAGGAGCTATATTTTGGTCTGCTTCAAAAATAGTCTCCTTGACAAGCCCCTGACTGCCCCTCTTAACAGCCTCCTCTTTCATGTTGCCATACAAGCATGCAGCATGAACTGTTCGATCCCACGTGACTGCACAGGGTAAATATGTGTAACGTGCAGCAGATGGTTCATCAGCGCAAAACAAATCAGTACTGAGGACACACGTGGAACACATATCAGATCTGTGCTGGAACTCTCAGCCAAGACCAAACTAATTAAGTATCCAGTCACCACAAGTACATAAAACACAACATCAAGACTTCAAAAGGCAACAGACCACAGAGCATGCTGTGTCCTTACTATAACTATTGTACTTTATACTTAACATATTTCTATATTCTTGATATTTGTATATTTTTATATTTTATGTCTCCTTAATATTTTTCAGAAGAGATTGTTATATTTCATTAACAACAGTGAATTCCTGTGATCTATTTTTTTTTATTGCCTGGCTACAAACCAAATGCCCTTTGGGATAAATAATAAAGTTAAAATTGATACAGAATCAACTCTGACAAATCACTCATCACAATCTACTATAATACTTCAACTTAGGGTGCTCTCTTATTCACAGATTGACTACAAACTGAGTCAGCGGCCTGTTGTGATTGAATGAATGTAACTGATATAAGTTACACTGCCCAATACCCAATCCGATTAATAAAAACAATTAGGTATTAGCTACCAATCTGACATATCAGATCGGTGAATCCCCAACAACATATAATTTGAAAGTTCGATTTTAGAGGATGGTTGGAGGCTGAAAACTATTAATTACATTATATATTAAAATTGAATAAACCTTAGAAAAAATTGATGTAATGATAAATGTATAAGAAAATACTGTTTTCTTGTCCCATCAATCATCTTGAAACCTTCCAAAACTCATCTGTTGAGAACTATTGCTTCAGACCACCCACCCTGCTGTTTCTGCAGGTCTTCCTCTGTGACGGGGGAATCTTTGAGAGAGAGGCTCACTAACAGCCTCTTGTTCTCTGCCTGAAGCTGAGTGATTTGAGAGAGCAGGTCCTGGACTTCTCCTCTCCATACATCCTCCACCAGCTCCAACTCCTGAGTACAAGAGATACAGAAAAAAATATTTAAAGAAGAAGGAAAACACTAGGACACTGAACTGTCTACACAGACTGCTTGTTCTTTGTTTGGAAAGGATCGATAGAGCTGCATGAAAAATTTCACTTCAGATCTTCAGATCATGTCATTATCACGATTATTATAGATTATTTGAAGTTGTTTTAGGTGTTTCCAAAGGTTATTTCGTCACCTACCCGAAAATGTAAACATAAAGGTCACAACACACACAGTGAACACAGACAGACAGGCGACAGATACACACCATACACAGCCAGGTCGGCTGATAATGAACACACAAGAGTATACAGTTACACACACACACACACACACACACACACACACACACACACACACACACACACACACACACACACACACACACAAGCACACGCAGGTTGATAGGAACATAAACAGACCTTCTGGTGTTTCCTCTCCTGCTCGTATCTGTCGCTTCGCTCCTGTCGCAACCTCTCCAGCTCCCTCCGCAGCTCCTCGGCCTCCTGTCCTGCGGCTCCGCGGCTCACCAGCGCCTCCAGCAGCTCCAGAACCCGCACCACTTTGGGCACTAACCCGACAAGAGACTCGCACCCAAACCTGTCGATAATCCGCTCAAAGTCGTGTCCGAGCACCGCCGCTATGTCGTACACATCCATAACCGTCAGCTCTGCTGCGGGTTTGTTTAGCGCTGACATAACGCAGGTTTCCATGTCTGTCCTCTGTTTTATTTACACCTCCGTCATTAAACATAACTCTCTTTCCTCTGACATTCCGAGTACACTCACTCTTAATGTAGAAAAACGAGTTTACACAAGCTAGATGAGGGGTGTGTGAACCTGTTTAAGTCTGTTGACAGTTTAAACTTCGCCAACGTCTGATGAGGGAGTAGTTTGATGCTGCGTTCAATAGTCTGGCTAAAAGTCGTATATTTCAATTCCAAAAATAATAATTACCACCATAACGTATGTTCAAGTCAATACATACATTATTAATAATACGTCGTTCTCGACTATTCATTTATGGTCCTATTCCACTCCGAAGAACGTCATATCGTCGCAGGGTTTGAAGAAACTTAAATATTTACAACAGGTCCTGAAGGCAGCAGCCCTCCCTCCACGTTGACTTCTAGTCCTACTGCGCATGTCATGATATTATTAGTGTATTACCTTTTATGCCCATCATTAAGTTTTTAAAATATCCCAGCACTACTAGACGTAAGGTATGGGCAGCCTAAAATAAAATAAAATTTTTACAAAAATAATTGATTAAAATATTACCAATGTATTACCACAAAACGTGAGTTAATTTTGTTAGAAATATGTAAAGTATTTCACAAATTTTTAGCTACCAACAAAATGTATTATTAGTTTTAATCTTAGACTGTAAATAAAAGTTGAATGTGGTTAATCCTACAGACTGGACAAAATTATTTTGTTTAACCTTAGATATAATATATAGCCAAATTTAATTATTGAGATGAAACTGAAGCTGAATAAACAAAAAATGACCTAGTTTCTTCTTAAATGTGCTCTGTGTGATTATATGCTGTAAAATCAAAAATCAAAATATTTAAAGAAAAAAAAAAAAAACCTTCATAAGCTCAGAACAAGATGAGGTAACACAATGGGACATCAAATCAAACATTTATTGTTCATTTGTTTTACATTTATACTTCTTACAAGGAGAAACCACCAATATCTTTACTAAAATATATTAATAGATCTGAGTGTATAAAGACATTTCGTACAGAGGAAAGGACAGAACATAAAAAGATGCATTTTAAGAACCTGTAAGAAAAGCTCCCAGAGGCAAAGTGGACGTGAACACCTTAATATTGTACATTAACTAACCCTAAATCTTCATATTCAGCCTAAAAGAAGCATTTGATAATTAAGGACACCTACATCTGATATTTGTGTGTAAGAATTAAGTCTGTCTATATGCTTTAACATAATATCCAGGTTCTCCTCTAAAGGGACATTCAAGAGATGAGTGTAGATATTTACTAGGTGTGAATTGCACATTCCTATACAGACTGTATGTCTTTACAGGTATTATTTAATGCTTTAGTACAGTACGTTTCAAGGCCTCTGAGACAATCTTGTACTGCTGAGAAAGAAAGCTGTTTTGCACATAAGAGGAACACTGTCCATCATGAAGGCAAAGCCAGAGGTATGTAAAACTTCTGCTGCAAAATGGATGCACACAACACATTTCCCCAGTTTCCTTTACCGCCCACCACAACATAAATAGCATACAGTGTACCTTAAGAAAAATGTGATGTGCTCTGTAATGAATGTCCAAAACATGGTGCAAAAAGGTTGTCCAAAGCATGATCAAAACTAAACTACCTATTCACAAACAAGATATGCTGTCGATTTGTGGTCATCATCAAGGTTTGTATTCTAAAAGCAGTAGTGCTTAATAGTCTAAAATCTGTGTGATGCAGAAGAAAAACAACAACTTTCAAACAGCCTAAAATTATAATATTAACCTTTTTTGTTCTTGATGCCAAGTTCTAAAATAAAAAGGGTTCTGCCTGGATGGCATGCATATGTATCTTTTAAAAAAAAAAAAAAAAAAAAAAAAAAAAAAAAAAAAAAAAAGGGGTAAAGGCAGCATATCCCTTCCAGGCATCGCAGGTTAAAAAAAAAAAAAAAAAAATCAGGCTTCTGGTCCATTTTGGCATAAAGAAAAAGAAAAAACAAAGGAGGGATGAACAGCGAGATGCAGGATGAGGCAGAGGATTGTCAGCATGCAACTTAAAGGAACTGTATGTCCACAAAAAGGCGATCTTTCTCTGGTCAGTCCAAACATCCAGTAGCGGAGCATTATCATCCTCTGCTCAGGCATTTACTTAAACTGCAACATACAGAACACAAGAGAAAAGATAAGATTTACAGACAAACTTATTTTCTCATATAAAACACAGACTTTTCTTTATAGCTCTTACTTTGGGTAGAATGTGGGGTTTCTGGGCCAACGCAGGTTTCTTCATGAGAGCAGGTTTGCTGGGTTTCGGTGACATAGTTACAGGATGGACCAGCGAGGAGGCTTCGCCGTTCCCCTCAGAAACCTGCTCTAGAGGAACTCCAGCCAAGTCATAGTGCTTCTTCCTCAGCTCGCCCAAACGCAGTCGCTCGTTCTCTAATTGACTTTCTAATTCCAGCACCTTCACCTGAGGGGATGACAAATAAACAGATGGTTATCAACAGTCAGACCTGTTGCTGCTTTTATTTAAGATCATTTCATTAATTCCACCATGTAAATGCAGCTGACAGCTAAACTCATTTATGTAAACTAAAAAAAATCTAAAATAATTTTTAAACATATGAAAAACATAAATAATAATGAGGGTCATCTTAACGACACACACTGCAAAAATGTATCTTTCTGAATTTAATTTTAACAGATACACAAATACAATATGGACTATGTACAATATGGAATATGGAATATAATGATAACAGAAGTAAGGCACTTACCTGTGACTCCATTTCTTCTTTTCTTAGCTTGATGAGGGACATCCCAGAGAAGTCCATGGTATCTGCACATAGAAAGTGTTTGGATAAAACAGAACTATTAAAATTACAGATGCTCATCAGAGTCTGTGACGGTCTAGAACACAGATCAAACTGAACAAACCTTTTTCCTCCAGGTTCTCCTGGCCCGTCTTTGTTGAGGCCACTACATTAGCTGCCATTTCATTCACATGGCGAGAGGCCTGTTGGAGAACTGACAGCCTCTTACTGTTGCGGTCTGCCTTAACCTGAGTGCAGAGGAGATCAGAGTATGACCAGGCGACACAATTTAGATACTAAACCAACAAACTCAGTTACAGAAACCAACTTAACACTCAGTGTGATACAAAGGTGTGTTGAAAGAGATAAAAAAAAGGGAAAGTTACATTTGTAAAACAAGCTGCTGCATAATTAAATGAATCTGGTTAATTTGCTCTCTAAGGGGACCACACAGAAATGTTTTTAAATGGTACACCTTAGAGAAATGTAAAATGTGACATTCACACTGAGGCAATTAACATAATGCAACCCAGTTTGTTTCTACAGTTATAACCAGAGTTATCTCGAAGGTTTTTACCATTGTGTTTTTCTCCAAAATTTGACCATTACCTTTGAAGCGGCGACCAGCTGTGCTGTGCTGGCAGCAATCTCATGAGAGCAGACGATCAACTCCTCATATTTGCCTGTGTGCAGCACCACCTTATCAGCAGACTCTCTGAGAAAGCAGGTTAAGACATAATACCACTTCAGTCCACATAATTGGAAAGGGTACAGTTCTGCACACTGGCTAATAGCTGTTTTATATGGGAGGTGCTACACATAACATTTTAAGATCATTAAATCATTACTGGGTCTGTTTCAAGTCATGAATATAATTATAGTAAACCTTCAATCAGCAAGAATACTTGCATTCTCTTACAGCCGCTTCATGCATTTTACATTTAGAAAGGTAGAATTAGCTCAAAATATGATGAATATCTGGTTCATCTGAATTATTTTAGTGAATAATTCAGAGGAAACTTGGATAGATATTTTTGCCTGAGCTGTTGTTCTTGCAATGTTGGGAAGAACTGGATCTGCCTTCTGCAATAATGTTTACAGTCAATCTTCACAAGGTCACAGGGATCAACGCAGAGAAGACCATTTGTTTAAGTATCATGTGATGCGATGTTCCGTATAACTGAGAACTTACACCATCTCTGTGGCTCCCCAGCCCACAGCCTTGGCAGCAGAGATGAGTCCCTCAGTCCAGCGGGAGTTTCTGGCGTAGAACTCTTTAATGGTGGCTGCACCCTTAACAAGCAAAACATCAGTACTGTTAGCCTTTTTTTTTTTTCAAAATGAAACAGAAAAGCTCACTCTGTTACCAGTAGTAGAAGCTGTTGAACATTTGAAATGAACAAGCTGCCTGTTTGGAATCAAAGTCAGAACAGTGTGACTCACCCTCCCACTCTCAACGATCTCCTTTTGCAAATCTGTAGATGCTATAATTAGCATGCGGATGGCCTATGGGAGAGTGGAAGACAGAAGGGTAGAATAAAAAAAATTTAAAAACTAACAAACAAACAAAAATGTTCATTAGGATATTAATTTAAAATAGGATATACAGTATGTAGGGTTTCATATGTAGTCTAGGACATATATTAGTTGAAAGAGATAAAACTGTGTACCTTCATCAGGTCTGTGCAGCTGTAAAGGATTCTGTAAAAGAGTGAAACAGAACAGAGAATTAAAAGTTGTGGCCTTTTTGTTCACTGAACAATATTTAGTGAAGAAGACAGAAACCGAAAAGAAGACAGGTATATTGATAAGCTGGTGTTTAACTGACTTAGATAAACAAAGTACCAACAAAGGACAAACCTCTCATTGACCTCCAGTTTCACTCCTGATGTGTCCTTTCGAGCCTGATTCATCATTTCCTAAATACAAACCCATATGAGACATTTATCAGTTACATTGGATACACTGTAGAATATATCAGAGGTCTATTCCTATTCCTATCTGTTAGTATATAATACATCTTAAACTAAGATTTACAATACTCACATCAATCCTACGGACTGCCTCCTCAATAGCTGCTGATGTTGCAGCCATTTCTTTGTCGACCAGATCTCCCAGCTCATCCTGACGAATGTCCATGCTTTTCGGCCGCAGCTCCTGAACATAACAAGAGGGAAAGTAATTTGTCACGATAATAAAAACACAAGCCAATGATACTGGAAGTCACTTAGAATATCACTGATGAAAACCGAAGTCTGGATGATTATATTACTGATATGACACTTTTACACTGGTGGTTGAATGCACTTCTTATGGATTTCTTCTCGTAATGTTCAGCTAAAAATAGTTCTGTTTTTTCCCCTCACCTGGCCCAAGTGCAGGATCTTTTGAACAATTATGCGAATGGAGGCTGGGTCTGCCCTCTGGAGGGTGGTCTTGGACTTAAGGTCCTTCAAGTACTGCAGACTCTCAGTTGCACAGCCCCTGCAGTTCTCTGTCAGTCCTGCAGGGTGTAGAAGAGCAGAGATAAAAGGACTATTACAAGTCACTATTGAAATGCTGCTTCTGCAGATTTGAATCTGAACATATTATTATATAAAACTGAGATGTGGCTTTACAAAAGGATGGATATATGTACTAAAATGAATACGAAAACGGCTGTAATAACGCCGTGAGAATATTCAGAGATATTCCTTACGGTCTGCATGGTCAGTGGGGGCCATGTGTGCTGTAGCGCTGCCGTTAATGATTGTATCCGCAGCCAAGTGGGAGAACTGGGTCAGAGCCCTAAGCAGCCCTCCAGCATCTGGTTACAAGAGCATAGAGTAAGAGAGCAGTATCCCACATTAACAAACATAACAAACCAGCCACACAGGGTCATGAGGTTAGCAGGATCAAGTCGAAATCAGAGGCAGACAAAAATCTTACCCCCCATGTTATGGAGATAATCTGCATGGCCTTTTTTCACTTTGTCGATGGAGCCGAGCGTGGCCTCCGCCCGACTTATGAGGTAATCTGTGTTTAGAGGACAAACAGAAGATTGAAAAAGAAAAAACCCATAAGCTTTGATAAAGTCTCCAGAATAGACAACATAATGTATATGGTCCACCAGCTAAACAGAGGAAACATGGTTTTGCTAACACTCCATTTTGCCTTTTTAATTATTTAATTCTCACACGACTCACATCATTGTTGTTAACCTGTCAGTTTATGTTTGTTGAGAAATAACAGAGCAGAGGTCTGACCTGGAGAGCTAGTGCAGCGTATATGGAGGGGATCATCCAGCTTAGAAACAGCATCTTGGATGATGTTCTCAGCCTCTGTGATGGTACCCTGCAGCAGAGCAAACTGCTCCTCCAGAAGCTTCTGCTTCATCTGCTCCTCATGACTCGTCTACATTCAAACACAAGCAACAGAACATACATACAGTACATACATGTATAAACTTGTTTATGACCAGAGAAGTATATTGTCATACATAAACGTCATTGTTGATTTTTGTATCAGATTGTCTCATGCAACCTATCTGTCCACAGTCACCATAGGGGAGAACACATGATTGTGTGTCCACCCAGTGTCACAGTCTCATCCACAAAAGCAAGCTTTAATGTGAGGACTAAATCGGCCAAATGAAGCCTGTGTGATTTTCTTGTTTAGGTGCAGTGGGTACAGCAGAGAGCAGGAAGTCCAGATGAAAGATTTACATTTTCTCTATGTAACTGCATCTGTACATGTACACACACACATTCTGCTTCATGTTCTTTCAAAAATTTCTCTTTCCTTAAATCTTAATTCACTCAGAAAGGTTTTTTCACACACACGTTTTAACTACTGTCCTTCACATTGACTACATTTAAATGTGTCATGGCCACATTCCATCTATTGACCTTCTTTAAAAAGACTTAATTAGACTTTAAAGACTGTATTTAGGCTCGGGGTGCTTACAAAGTTATTCTGTTCTTATTCCTGTGTTTTTCATTACCAGACCCCTGATCTATCATGCTGCTGCTAGAGTAGAGGATGCCTTTGCAGCCTGCTTCATGCAAAATAAGGAAAAACTGTGCTTCATGCCCTTTCCTTTACAGTTTTTCATTAGAATCAGACAGTAGCATGTGTCATCAAGCAGCTCGGCTGTCATTATTTGTCACAGCATGTGCTCTAAAACGCCTTAAAAACTCTACTTGTGAGTCACAGTTTGATTAAGTGTATACAGTGTCTAGACTGCATGTCAGTTTGACTAAAATGCAGGTTAAAAGTAAACAGAGAGTCATGACACTACTCAAAAACACATTTACAGTAAGATCAATATATTATTAGTTAGAGTATCACAGACCATTTAAATATAGCCACTGATACAAATGTCCACATTCACCATTGCCGTGTGCCCAATAAACGCTAATGTTTTTATATGTTTAGATTTCACAGTTGTTCATAAATATGGTGTAATGCCTGGGGTAATTAAAACAAACCCTGGTTTACGTTTTCTTAGGGAGACAGACCTTAAAGCTGAAAACTCAATTAAATGGACTGAGTGGAGACAAGTCTGCCGTTCCCTCTGCTGAGCTGGGCTCTACTGTCCTGACTGACCTTCTCCTGCAGTTTGCCCTGCAGCTCTCCCAGCTCCCTGCTGCTCCTCTCTCGCTCCTGCTGAAGTGATGACTGCTGCACCTGCGCAGCCTGCCGCAGAGACGACAGCTCCGCCTCCTTCTCGCTCACAGATCGCATCAGACGCTCCTTCTCCGCCTGCAGAGCCGTCATTGAGCTGTTCATTTGCTCCGATGTCTGGCAAAAACAGAGGGCGATGAGGGAAGCCAGAAAAGGCAGATGGCTGTGAGTGTCAGACGGATAGTCCATCCGGAAATACGCGACATGCCTCAAGCTTCCAAACACAGAACGGATGAATACTAACATGATGGTGAATTTGCTAAAATCATCAAGGCCGTTGCTGCAGTGTAACACCACAGGTGCGCGCTCACCTTCTCGCTGCTCTGCAGAGTCCCCTTGATGCGCATCATTTCTGCCATCTTCTCCTCCAGCTCTCTCTTCAGCCTCTCCATCTCAAACTTCTGCTCTTCCAGCTACAGTGACAACGAAACTGCATTAACCGCCACCACCTGCACTTGACATCCATGTTTTTAAAGCAAAAACAACACGTCACCGACCTTCATGTCAGCTTCCTGTTTTATCCTATCAACCTCAAACGACAGCTGCTGTTTGGTCCTCTCCACTTCTTCCTGGGTCTGCTGGGTCGCTGACAGCATCTTCACAGTGTCTGCACTCTGTCAGCACATCAGCACGTTTAGTGTTACCACGCACAGTGAGGTGCTGACATCTAATTTAAAACAAGCATCTCTGGACTGATCTGCAGTCTGTCTGTACCTTCCGGAGTAGTTCAGCATGACTGGCCACCAGCTCTGAGTGCTTGTCCTTCAGCTTATTGTACCTTTGCTCGGTGGCCTGCGCTCTTTCTGTACAGACAAGAGAGATGACAGTGTCATCTTACTGTCCATGATTACCTCCCAAAGTTTGTGCAAAAGTGTTAATTGTATATCTTACTCTCCGCCTCAATGAAGGTGGTCTGTAAGCTCTCATGATCTGTGTTTCTGCGGCGCATGGCCTCCAGCTCCATGCGCAGCTGCTCATTTTCCACAAGAGCACGTTGTTTCTGTGCACGTTGTTCTTCTAGCTCTGCCTCCAAACTGTTGATCTGGGACTTGAGCTGTGTGATGTAGCGTTGAGCCTGCAGGAGGGGTAAGAGAGAGAGAGATCGACACATCAGGAAAGAAATCTACTGGCGTCAGTGCAAATGCAGATTGTTCAATAATCAACATAAAAATCTTAAAATTTTCTATCCATAAGATGCATTTCTTTTTGCAAACTCAAACTCATGTCTTGATACCTGCCAAATATTATCTTCCCTTGTTTTTACTTCACGTCTGCTTTTATAATCACAGAAAAACACAATCACAACAGAAAGAGGAGGGATGACATGCAGGCTGGAAACTGTGACGTCAGCATGTCACCTCTCCTTCACAGGCTACTTGTGACATTCCACACGGCAGGAGCAGCATTTGCATCTGCCCAACACATAATCCAGATTCCTTTGCACATAGATAATAATGACCTCTACTGACACACACACACACACACACACACACACACACACACACACACACACACACACACACACACACACACAGAGAGAGAGAAAACAGTCAACTGGTTATTCAGTCCCTGAAGTCCTTACCTCTGCTTTGACTCTCTCGAGCTCTGCTCTCAACAACTCAAGGTCACGCTTCAGGCTCTCGATCTGGAGATCCCTGCCAGACAGAAAACCTACTGTCACTGTGCGCTGGCAAAGGTGAAGTGCTGAAACCAACCAACCCATTTAACAATCACAGGTTACAGTGGAAAAACTCCCCGGCTCACCTGTCATCGAAACCTCCATTGGGAGGTCCAAATGTCTGATCAAATATGTCAAGTTGCTGAGAAAAAAAAAAAGAAAAAAAAAGAAAGAAAGAAAAAGAAATGAATAAAAAGGAACAAAAAAGCTTCCACAACATCATGGCATGTTTGCCTACTTGCGTGAGTGTGATGGTCTGTGACCGTGTGCCATACCTGTGGCTGTGCCTGTACGCTGGATGTTGACACATCGCTGACCTCGATGAGCGGCTCTGGGTCATCGTCGTCGTCGTCTTGTTGCTCTGGTTCATCCTCGTCTGGGATGACCACCACTGGCTTCACATGCTTGGCCAGTGAAGCTGCGTGCAGGAAGTTTGGTGGGGACTGACAACGAGAAGGACAAAATGTCGACATTTGGTTAAACCACTAACGTCTTTGTTATTGTGTTCAGTGGATTTAAAGAAAAAGAAAAAAAGCCATCTATGGTCTCCTTTGTGAGAACCTTCAAGTGAAATTTCAACATCACATAGGTGTCTAAGTAAATGATAAGCCAGTTACTCCAGTTGGTAGCTAACAGTGGCAGTATTAGGCTGATGGTGAAGTCTTTGACATTCAAGATGGAGGCTGTGACTCAGCACCGAGGTTATTCCACATTTTCCCAGCCCACTGTGCTTCTTACATCAGGCAGTTTAGGGATCTGGATCAGTCTCTTGAAGTACAACATGTCTCTGGCTTTATTGAAGAAGGTCTTAAGGCTGTGGAACAAAGGAAAACAAGTTAAACCCAGTCATGTCATATTTTCTAAAATTATTTATGTAATATTTTCTAGACTTTACATAAATGGCTTTCGTGTGTTTTATCACAGTTGTCAGGTATGGAAATCTATAACTGAACTAAAATGAGGTAAAACAGCTAAACTACAAACTACAACTCCTCTCTGAATGCGGCAGTGAAGATATGAATACCTCTGCGATAGTGATACCAATGGACACTTCTCAAAGAGTGGGGGATGGAAAGCAGTGATGGGCACATTTGCATCAGTTCAAAGTGCTGTGGTGACTGGGCGAGGCAGGATTATGTTACAGGCTTCCTTACGTAAAATTGTTTTCCTCCTTTTATGCTGCCATTCATTCATTCATTCAGTCATGGCCTGAGGCCTTGGACAACCTACCTGTGGAACTGGTCGTGGAAACGTTCACGGTGACCTTGTAGGGTATCAGCAGGGAGACCTGAAATCCAAGACATCATCCAAATTCATTCACCATTAAGCAATGTATGGATACACATAAAAATGTATATTAAGGCTAATATCTTGAATTATTTTAATCATACAGAACATTTAACAGATTTTTTAGATTTTACAGGCAAAAACTTCTGCTGAATGAGATTTTGTTTTGTGTGGGTAATAACTGTTCTTACAGGCGTGCAGCTTGAACAGCAGCTTGACGGTGAAGTGGTAGAGGTGACTACAGTCCTGGATAACTTGGATAAGCGGAGCCAGGCGACACTGGCCTGATGTGAGAGTGGAGATGGCGATGGAAGTGTTGAGCTGTCGGATCACTGGGGGCAAAATCAGAAACAGTAAGTATACAGTAAGAATCCCTGAAGTAAAGCTTGTCTGTCACTTACCAAATATTTTGTTGGGTAATTTAATTTTGGAAATTTCTGTGCTGGAGGAGCAGCATCATTTTTTTTGAAACATGCCTCTAGATGACGCCCATGTCTTTTTTTTATCCATTCTGTAAATCTCCCTGACGACAGCTGTGTACGGATACTGTTTGGTTGAATAAAGTGCAAACTGTTCTAGTGAGTGAGTTTTCACATTTGATTCTCTCGTTACATGAACACCTAGCAGACTGCTGAGGTACCAACAGCACATACAAGTGACTCCAGAACAGTGCTGAGGCTGATGACGCGTGTACAACTACAGAGTCCAGGCAAACTTTGTTCACAGTACAACTGCAAAATTTGTTTATGGTGTTGAGATGAGATCCCGGGCCTCCACCCTGCAGGGAGGCCTGGGAGGAGCATGCCATTACATCTAAACTGGAGGAAGTTGACTTAATGTCTTCTGATTGCTGGCATTTCCTCATCAGTTGAAACTAATTTAGGCAAACACAGAAGCACATGAGTTAAAACTAGACCAAGTAACTAGAATCACTTTTTAAATGAGATCAAATGGACCAAAGTCCAATATGCGAGTTGCTTACAATAACACTTTCTAGACAGGCTCTTAGCTTTTCTACATAAATAGATAATGTCAGCAGGCTGCAGTCCTCTACTGTAGCTCAGGTTTCTCTCCTTTGGAAGAGTAGGTATGGGGAAAAGGGGGGGGGGGGTTTTTTTTTTTTTTTTTTTTCCACCTGTCTCAGCCAGCCTCAGCTCTGCGTCCAAGTAATCGAACACCTCCACTGTGAGCTGGAACCTGCAGGAGAGAAGTTGATACCTTCATTAGAAAGAAAAGAGGCCTCGCTCAGAAACAATGATGATGTAACCCTGTGAAATTAAACCAGCAGCAGAGTTTATTTTATGAACTTGTTTGGGTGGCAGCAGCGGTGCTTATGATTGATATTGATGGGATTTAAGGGCTAAGCACAGGCTTTAAAAAGCTACTTTTGCCATATTTGGAAACTCACACATTATTAATGTCTGTCCCTGCAGTGCGCTCCAGGACTTCATCTGTGGCCTCCAGGTTCGGTGGGATTTCTGAATGCTGCATTGAGGTACATTTTTGCCGTATTAGTGCCACTGAGTCATTGCTGAATCATCCATTACATGCATCTTGGTGACATAACGTGCGGTGTGACATATGACAGATGTCCTTTACCTTGACATGAAACTCCAATTTCGTACACAGCAGCCTGGTATACAGAGCCACCAGCTGTCCATATTTGTCATGGAGGTTGCCCTGAAAAACCACAAACGGGAATTAAAAATGATCAGTTTAAAAATATCTTGTCAAGTTGAAGCTTTCTTGTTCCTTACTTGATAGAGATTATTTCAGGCTTCACAGGAACTCCATTCAACTGCAAGCAGCATTCTTTTGAAATTATTTTTAAACGATGAAATGACTCACCCATAGTTTCCCAATTTCAACTAGAGAACCGTGATGTCTCATGCAGTCTTGTAGAACCTGCAAAGGTGAACGCTGACATGAGCAACTGTAGTAACACCCAGTTATATTGGTCAAATCCTATTAAACTCACATTCACTCATGTGTTTTGAACACATATCACTGTGTTTAAAAAAAAGAAAAAAAAAGAAAGAAAAGTAAACTTTGTTACATCTTCCAATCACTGTCGATGCACTAAAACAGAAAGTCTGAATTTAAATCAATGTGAGCATTTTACCTTTTTACCTTCAGACCTTTAGTGTAAAGAACAATGTGTGTATCCACAGTTAGTTTTTCTCGGTTTGATACTGAACCTCACCTTGCCTCTGATGGCTGTTCCATCAGTGTGTGATTGTGATGTATGAATGTGTGAGTGAATGGGTGAATGTGGTAAGTGTTGTAAAGCGCTTTGAGTGGTCAGTAAGATTAGAAAAGTGCTATACAAGTGCAAGTCCATTTACCATTACTCACAAATTATAATTATCTTTCCCAGCTTTATGCTGAACTCATGAGGCTGCAACATCTGGTCTTGGATCACTCAACACCTTTTCACTTTTAAAAACTACATGGCGTATGGATAGTAATAGTCAGTAAGAGAAAGGGACTTGGTGCCTTACATTGCGGTGGCCATCCCGCAGGACTTTGTGCAGTACGTGGCAGAACTTCCAGCTGAGGATGGAGCTGCTGGCCAGAGGGAAGCCCAGAGCGTATGACCAGAAGGTGTAGGCTCCCTTCTCCCTGTGAGTCCCCAGGATGATTCCTGTTGTTTTTGTTGTTAAGGAAGCACAAACTATCACAGGACTGCTGGCTATTCCACATACAACTCTGCTAAACAAGTCAGTGAAATAGAAACATATTCACCTTGACAGCTATATTTCCAGGTCATAATATAGATCCATTTAACAATAAAGGTGAGCTAATGTACTTATGTTTTATTTCACTCTGTTCAAACAGGACATATATCAAATTACAGGATAAACATTTTCCAAAAATGCAATTTTATGATGACTTTAAAAAGTAAGCATCCAGGTAAGTGCGCTGTTAAGGATTTGTCCATGAATGTAATTATTAAATATCATCAGATATCATAATAGATGTTTATGACTGGTATCATTATTGGGTTTTTTTGTAAGGATACGTCGTGCATGTTTCTCCTTCACAGGCGTCTCACTGGAGTTGATGGCTTTGCTGATGCTGCTCAGCTGAGAGGAGAGGAGAGGAGAGGAGAGGAGAGGAGATAATATTAGATCTTGTATAGTTTGCTTCTCCACCCACACAACCGTCAGAGCTTACAATAGACGTAACAGCAAATACATAAGTCATGAGAAGTTAAATAAAGACCAGGAGTCAAACAAATGATAACTGGCTGCACTGCGCAGACAGGAATGAATCAGACAGTCAATGACTCTGCACTGTGTAAACACAGTGTACAGACATACTCTCGGCTCTAGATTGATTTTAACTGGCCAAAAAAACGTACCTTTACCTCACATACACACTTACTATGCCACAAAAGAAGCAACATTGTACACAGGGGTTCACTCTCATCCACTGTGTTACTGCTTCAATATTGTCTTCATATCCATAACTACAATACAGTGACAGCTGCTGTAATTAATAACCTCAGTGTACAGGATCAATACAGTCACATTCACCCACACTGATCTTTTTTATTAAGACTTTGTATTCATTTGTACAACTGAGCTGTTTGCACTATTTATCCTGTTATATACTGTTCATACTGTCTATACAGTGAATACTGTTATATAAGAGTTACTACATTACTAATTTGCTACTTGTCAGTACTGTACTGGCTCCGATGCTACATTGCACATCCAAGCTGCTGCACGATTTACTGCTGCTGGCACTGTCTATACCGCTGTTACCAATTTACCTCACTGTAGTTCTATTCTTACTATTTTATGTTTCTACTGTCTATTGTACTTATTGTTCTTATAGCATTGAGTACAGAAGTTGCTAACTTAATCTTGTTGTACAACTGTACTGCTGCAATGACAATAAAGATATTCTATTCTAAAAGGAAAAACAAAAAAACAAAAGTGACAACAGGAACATAGTGAGATAACACCAGTAAAAACATCTTGATAAAGATAAATTAAATCTTGTTTTTCAGTGTCTAATGCTGCTAAACTACCTTTTACGCCACCTGTGTGAAACAACAAAATCAATGTATGTGGTATTTAGCTTTATGTTTGGAGCTCAGGTCAAAGAGGACGAACGTTGGATCAAAAGATAGCATCTCTAATTTTCCCACTGATAATGAGCCTGTCACCAGAACCACAGGACACACATCAGGACACTCTGCAACCTGTCCAGCAGGTAAAACAAGTGCTGCTCAAAAGGAGCAGGAAGGGAGGGACGGAAAAACACACATTGGCTGGATCTCAGTGTCCCCCATGGACATTTTACCTGAGGTACAGTGTATCATAGCCAGAAAGTAATACGATAACTGGTTGCTATCGTCTTGCCACACTAGAGCGTTCTCGTCATGGTCATCCCCCATCTGTGCTAATAAAAGTATGGTTAAGATAAAGAGTAATTCCTCTATCTAAGCATCACATTATTATTCATATTTTTCTGCAAATAAATTTGTTTTTCTTTTATAAATAATGTTCCTGGCCAACTACAAGACTTTTTCATTTATAAGCGACCATGAAAAGAGAAGTACATGTTTTAAAAAAACACAGACTTTCTGTATCCTCTGTGGCATTTGACGCACACACATATTTTCCCGCTTCAATGCATAAGTCTGAAGACAAAGAGCAGAGGAGAGGAATGTAGAACAAGCCCCGATAAAAATCCAATATGTTCCTCCATTCCCCTTTCGGGATGCTACAAGAGAGATTTGAATCATTCCCTCACTAACACATAAAGATTACAACATGATCAAAGCTGAGGTTAGACGGCACAATTACCCTAACTACTGCGACAACACCCAAAGCTATATCAGACTGTGTGGTGTGCCCCGCCTCAAGTCACAATTCAGTGCTGTGTGCTTGTGTGAAGGAAGTGTCCTGAAAAAGTAATCCACACGTAGCCAGAGCATAACCTCTTTCTACAGCCCTGTGTCCCGCTGAGGTGTCGCAATCAACCAGAGCTGATAGTCTTTGTTGAACCAAGCAGGAACAAAAACAAAACAGCTGGTTGCAGTTTACCGAGAGGTGACACCTTGGAAAAATCCATCATATTTTTCTAATAATCCCAGAATGCTTAGTTGTGATTAGAGATGTAATACAAATGACAGAAATGTCCCACAAATGCATATCTGCTGTTCCCTGTGTCTTTGTAACACATCTGTTGAAGACCATAGTATCTGTATGATGCTAGCAGCTACAAGCTTTATCATCACAGCACTACGAGACTAATCCAACACACACAAGCATTAAAAGCAGCAACATCTTCAATCTCACTCTCTTTCATCCCAGTCTTTCTCCAGTTATCTTCCTACATAAAAAGGCTTAAACATGAACATGTGACCCACAACATGTAATGGAAGTTTCACATACCAGCAGAAAACCCTGCTTCTTTGGTCTTACCCTCAAACAAAGGCTTAGAAATCCATGTCACATCTTTGTTTGAAACATAATCACATATCAGTGGCAGAGGCCCCTAATCCCACAAAACCCTATAAAAGCCTCTTTAATACATTAGAAACCTGGGAATCACAACCCCACCCAAATCCACACACACACACACACACACACAACCAACCACCAAAACATACATGGCCACACAACAAAGCACAGAGGGACTACTGTGGGTGAAAACTGGCGTTCACAGCGAGAGAGGGGTACACTGGTTAATAGGAGACTCCCCCCGCCTGCTTCTGACGCAAATGAACTACTAGTCCCTCGTTTACACAGGGCAAGTGCAGTGGGCTAGCATGGAGGCCCGTGTGACAATGAGGGGTTTGTTGGGGGAGGAAGGCCGACAGCTGGGGAAGAAGATTGGGTTGGATGGGGGCCACGCTCTGGCACACAGAGCCTGGCACAGAGGCCTCAACAGATGGCCGCTGAGCAGTGAGGCTGCAGGGAGACTCTCATAGTACATGCAGAATGGCTGTCAGTCACAGAGCGGCAAGAGAGCGGCGAAAGGGACAGAGAGGAGAACGATACTGAATGCAGGATAAACAGGAGAGGGTGACCCAATACTACATACAGTTTACTGTCAGAAGAAGCACATGGTGACTATAGTCATTACTGTACTGCAGCAATTTTCAAAACAGGAGCCAATTTCAGTGGCACTCACTGGAGCTCTCCAGTGTACATTCCCTTACATGCCCTTGCTCAAGGCCACTAGAGAAGTAATGGACACTGTGAACAAGGAGATCAAACTAGCAACGCTTCAATTACTAGTAGTGCCGCAAGTAACAATCAATTAAACAGCCAGTTACTTAATTCATTGTTTTGTCAACAAAACATCAAAAAATTGTGAAATATTGGCCATCTGTTTCTTAGAACACAAGAGACATCTTCAAATGTCTTGTTTTATCCGGTATGGCAAGGAAAAGCAGCAGTGTTTCCCCATTTAAAAAATTGGAACAAGAGAATGACTGACTTTAAATTGATTAATGATTAATTTCCTGTCAATAAACGAATCAATTAAGAGATGAATCTCTGCAGCTCAAATTATTATTATTTTAGTGAAATTATTCCTCTGTAACTGAGTAAACTCCTTATTGGTAAAGCTCTGCCACTACACACAATACAAAGTCTCACTATCAAGCCTCGCATCAGACTACACACAGGTCACACACTAACACACACAGATACCAGTTCCTTAATGTCTTGGTCAAAAGGTAAGTCAGATGAAGTCCAAACTATTTACTAACAATGCAATTTCGTCCGAGACCTCCAGACATGCTGACACTGTCGACTGTGTGGCTGCCCAACAACTCAGTGCTGCATCTGGTTCAAGCGTCAGTAAATCCTCTGACCAGCAGAGAGGAGAAGTGAGAGGGAGGGAAAGCCTGGACTAATCCCCGAGGCCTGCCATAAGGTCTATTGCCAGCTAGCATCACTGTACAGTACACTGTACTCACTCCACAGTCCAAAGACACCACCCTCTGTAAGCTGCGCTAATACCTCCAACCTTAAAGCATCTCTGCTTACCTTGTCATCTCTGCTTTTCAGCAGCGTGTCCCTGTGTTTGGACATCCCGCTGTGAAAAGAGTGTGTGAAGTTAATGAAGTCAAGGCATCAATGCTACACCTGAGCTGCTTCTCACTGGACATAATGCCTGGAGGCAGGAGCACTTATTGCAGGTCCTTATCAGCTTAATTCAACAGACTGCTGCTGGGGATCTGGCTGACAAGGTCACACACAGACTTTAACACAGCTTGCACCCATTAGCTGAGGTTAGCTACATGTAGCACTATGACCAATGCTAACAAGTCCTGAAAACAGTGTCACAGAAGCAGTAAATGCAAAGTGAAGGGTTCCCTCTCTACAGAGGGGAGACCTGGAGAGGAAACAAGGAGACGAAGCGTCCAGAAACCATTTTCAGTGAACACATGGATTTATGAGTAATGTTTTTCAATTACACTTTTTCAATTTAATATTCTTTCTCAAATCAAATGGCTTTGCAAAGTTATTTCAGTATTTTATTAACTTCTACCTTACTGTCTCCGGCCCTGTCAGATTTAACAAGCGCAGCCTCTCTCACATCAACACAGGCAATAACCCCAACACATGAGCCCACACTGGATGTCTTGTTCTCCTCCTCACTGCTCATCCGTCCTCGGAGAGGACACATGGTAATGAATACTGTAGAAACACAAATATAACCTCCTCACACTCTGTGTGTGTTTTCCTGGTTTTTCTCACTCTACATCAGCAGCTGTAGTCCAAACACACGAACACTAAATAAGACACGAATTGTGTTCACTTTTATAAAGTGGAAAGTTTAAATGGAAAATAAGTCCACAAAGTGAATGGATCAGAGGAACTAATGAATGGCTGCACAGATAGAGACTGTGTCTTACTAGGTAATGACTTACTATTATGTCTAATGAAATTAGGAACACAAAATCTGATAAAATATTCAACAAAAGATAAATTGTTCCTTAACAAACAGATTTCATTTCAGCCAATTTGCTGATCTGGCTACTTAGCTTGAGAATCACATGATGTTCATGATTATAGGTAATGCAAGTCAGAGCACAAAACATACTGCATATATCATAGCATACAAACAGTATTGTGATTACATTGTTTTCAGTAACAATCGTCTATTGTCAATGAAAATACAAGGATATTATGGGCATCATGAACACATGTTTTGTAAATAATGTGTGAGCATGGCGTGTGTTTTGTATGGTTATACTGCTCATAGTGCTTAACTGAAAAAAAAAAAACAAAAAAAAAGATTTCATGATGAGCAGTTAGTTTTAGTCTCCAGCAGAAAAAGAATACAGGTCTGCAGATTTCTTCGCGTAAAAACGCTCTCATAGAAAAGGTTAAAAAGGTGAAGTTAAAGCTCGAATGCCCTTTTCGTTTGTTGACAAACACTGACATTCGATCTCACGACAAAAACAAATGCTTCACGTTAGAAGTGTTTTTTTATTAATATGGGAAACAATCATAACCAAAGTGCTTTTAATTCTGTCTCTACTCCCACTCAGTATCTGTGTTTACCCTCTGGTACTCCCATCCCCCTTCCCTCTCTCATGGGCACTCACTCAGGCAACAGGAGTGAGGGAAAGCAAACACTGCACTTCACACACACATAAACACACAGGACGCTGTGTGAGACATTTCACCTTGGTACTGAGGTCAACATAAAGAAGAGAGAACTCAGGAGAGAGTGGAGTGAAAGAGAAGTGCAGAAGAGGAGTTTCGGCCAGTGTGGATGAATCAGCAGTACTGAGAAACTCTTTGACAGAAGAAATATTAATCCAATAGAGATCTTTACAGGCCCCTTCCTACTACATAATGGCTTATGGCTAATAGTTGCACAGAATGCTATTCTAAACTGTTGTTTGGTTTAATCAGTAGCCTACATACTGCACATCCACTAATCTAGTTGTAGTGAAATGTTGGTTAGGAGGTGGTACAGAGCCATGCAGTAGTTTCTGCTTAAAAAAAAAAAAAAAAAAAAAAACACAAGCCAGTCAGGAGTTTGGATTCTTCCTCATACCACCCAATTCATTTGCTTGCTGCCCAGTGGATCTAATCAGCGGAGTATTTCCCCTCTGGCTACATACTGCATCCTCATTCAGTCATATCAACAAGAAACACCAGTTTAAGTCACTTAATCTGACTAGTTCTACTCTACTCTGTATATGTTGTGAGTTTTAAACCTGTCCTTTACACACAACACGCCTTGTTTAACATATGCTGCACAGCATGAACTAGTAAGGCAACAATTGCTAGTTTTGAAATGAGAACTGGGCCCACTTGTTGCCATTCTGTTCAAATCAACAAATATGCTGCATTATTAAACAAATGAGCTGAGGGCAACAAACAAGCAGGGGTTCAAGCATCTCAGCTCCACCTCTCTACATGTGCTTCAAAAGCAAATAAAACATTGACAGAGTAATGTACGCCCCGCACTGGAGCAGCTCAGCCCATTTTAGATAACAATACACTGAAAGTGCCGTGAGTCTGAACACCAAGGCAGAGGCTCAGCAGCTTGTTTAGTTACTCAACCTCGTTTGAATCTCATGTTTCCCAGTCAGACTGGGGTGTGTGCTTCACTTGAAAACAGCAGCTCCAAGAAGATCAGCTCGTGGTTTGTCTCTTACTCCTATAGGCTACACTGGTTCAGAGCGCATGGTTTACTTGGCATGTAACTGTAGTGAAGTAACAGTCAGAAACCACAAAGCACCTGTTGTTGTATGGGGAATGAGAAGAAGAAGAAGAAGAAAAAAAAAAAACTTAATTCCTTCAGTGCACGCATTCAACAGAAACTGAATCACATTTCCAAGTACCGGTACACCACAAGGGAAACATCTCAAAGTTTAGGCCCTTCTTCCTGTTTCCTACGTAGAAAATCCTTCTAGGAGGCTTTTAAAAACAGAGACAGAAATGTCTGTTAGGGAGGAAAGGTGGCCAAACAAGAAGGACGAGATCAGCATGATACCAATAGACAGGCTTCAGTGAAGCACGACTACACATAGCACTGGTGGAAAAAAAAAAAAAAAAAAAAAAAAAGTTTGTCTGCATTTTTACATGTTGCAGTGTTGACCAGATAATGATGAACGCTGTTATTGGGGGGCATGAACACATTTCAAACACACAGGGGGGCATCTCTCTGGAGCCTCGTGCCTCACCTGGCTTTAAGCGGGAGTATTTAGCATGTAGACAAATTGCAGTAGAAACCTGCGACATCCTCAATGCATTTAATTCACTGATTAAACATTCAATATCACATTTAATTGGAAACGTGGCCTATGCGGTAGACTGTGACCATCACACACACACACACACACACACACACACACACACACACACCTCTTCAGTCATCCAGTAGAGCCACACAGAAAAGGCCAGAATAAAGCTCATGGTTTCCCATCGCACAGCGAGCATTAACCCACCGACTCACTGCTGCTCATATTTACCTGCTGCTTGTCAAAATGCTCCCTCTCCGCTCCGAGGTTGGCCTCGGTCCGCCTGCTTTTCACCCGTGTGGGCACCTGTCTTATGCTGTTCATCCTTGTTTTCACAATGACGGCTTCAGCAAGAAATACTTATTCTCCCTCCCTCCCCGCCTGCTTTCAAAAAAAACGAAAAAAAAACGTCCAGACCAGAGCAAATATCAGAGGTTCCCTCTTCTATCTACACTGCAGGCTCTGTGTGTGTGTGTGTGTCTGTGTGCGCGTGTGTGTGTGTGTGTGTGCCAGTGTGTGTGTGTGTGTGTGCCAGGGACATCTCCAAGCTGCAGCGTCGTTACCGGAGATGCATCGCGGCTGAAGGAGGAAACGCAACAGCAAAGTGAGTGTGTTTGCTTTGCATTACGTGGACGGATCCTCCCCCAAGGTGGAGAAAATCATCATCGTGTCCTCTAACATCACATCCTCCCACACGCATGTCAGTTTTTTCAGCCGCAGTCATTAGGTAGCCTGTGTGAAGTAATTTCAATCAGCTTTTCCCTTATCGTTTTGTACTGTGTATTTCCTTTTTTTTTTCTTTACTGTCTGTCGCTTTCAGCTGTGTGCAGTGACGTCATTTCAATGAAATCAAAACTCATCAGGATTATTTCAGCGTTTTTTTCTTCTTTTAATCCCGACATTGCGTCTGCTTGTGCAATAACAGCCAAGCAGTGATGACATAAACCAGGAAATGAATCTCATGCTGAAGTCAGAGGATGTGCCTTCATCGGAGTAGACTGCTGTGACATATGATATAATTGAACAACTTTATGAACTCAAAAAGAATAACATAATTCACGATTCAAACAATGGCATTAAAGCAAACTCAGTCATAGCGTATAGGATTTTATTAATCAGAGTAGTTAATGTGGGTGGAGGTAGTTGTGTGCCAAACACATGTAAATAAAAAAAAAAGAAAAGAAAACAATGCTGACAAATCTTTAAAATAAAATGGACAATCCTCACCGCCACTGAGGTCCTGCACAGTGACTGACTGTGACACACACACAAGGAAATTAATGAAATGTCAGAATGAGTTTGATAAGAGTTTTATCAGTCTATCATTTTATTTCCTTTCACGGCTGTACACCCCATTGTTCTACATTTATGACAGATTCATTTAAGGACATCTTGTGTTGCAGCTTCTTTCTTAAGCTGCTCAAAGCTTTAAAAAGTCATGTCATCAATGGATCATCCATGTAGTTTATCCACTTCTGATTATTTAAATGTCCTCTGAGGTTTAGATTTAATTTGATTTAACAAATGATAATGGATTTGTCTCTTCAGTTAGCTATATTTTTACTTCCTCAATGGATTGTTTTTTTGTTTTTACCATAGAGCATTGAGTCTCTTGCTTTGCCCAACATTACTCAACTTGGCTGTTAGACCATACGACTGTGGTATGTGAACAGACCTGATTTGTTTGTCTCAGTCACCGCTTCCTTCACTTTTTATCATTAGATAGCTTCATCCAAATCGACAGTTAACACATACATATAAAATTGTACAGTGCAACTGGTTTTCATTGATTTTCATGTATGTTGACCACATGGAGTCTGACTTCAAGTTATCAGTGTTGTTTCCCACCTAGCTCATGTGCAGTTCTTCAGCTCCACACCAAGAGCAACTGTTCGACAGCAGACTAGAGTAAGAAAATTAACACGCTCGTCATTTCCTTTGTACATTTTAGGCTTTGTCTTCATTCATTCCTTCTCAAGGTTGTAAGACTGGAATTTCATGTTCCTTGCACCAGGTGGAGCACAGACCATGATGTTTAGTTCCCAGGTATGCAGGTGAGGGAAACACAAAGGCTGATGGGACAACAGGATAAGGATACAAAAGGACACGATTGCCCTGCAGGCCAAACTGGCTCTTTTACATTTTTCTATCAAGCAGTCTCTGAACTGGCAAGGCCCATGTCACATCCATGGATAAATGACCGAGTGACAGCTGGGACATGAGAAAAGCTGTGTGACTGATGAAATTACGTTATGCCTGATAAGTCATATGAGAAAATGCATGTCTGCATTTGCATCGGGCTCTGGATTCTTCTTTTGTCACTATTTAAAGAGCTATATATAGCTTTTGTATGTACATGTCCTGTACAAAAACATTCATTCATCAAATGCTTTGCAAGTCTCACTCCTACAGCCTCTCTTCCTCATTCACCCTCCTACTTCTATGCATATGACTCTTGTGTATTAGTCACACCGCCTTTCAAAAAATATTGAGAAAAAACAAGTTGCAACAGCATGACTGTTTATGACATATTTTGCATAAAACACTGAAATGAACATTTTTCTCTTTCTTTCTTTCTTTACTCATTTCTTACTAAAATGAACTTTGCAGTCAGCATACTCCCACAGTTTCCTATATGATCCATCTAAGAGGAATGATGACTAAAAACTGACAATGCTTCAGATCACATAGTCACAGTCCAAAACAACAGTCCTGCAATAAATCCTCCCTTTATTACGGTTATAATGTTCAGTTTGCGATGGAACGGTTTCAGAGAGGTGTTGATTCAACACCTTTGATCATTTTGGAGGCTGCAGTTTGTTGTGCTGTTGAACTGTATTGCATTACATGAACAGGTGTTTCTATTATTTTGTCCATCCCATTTAAATCAATGGGGGTTGGCTAAATAAAAGACCCCCCCTCTGCGTAATGCAGTGCAGCTCAGCAGCACCTCAAACTACATCCACCAAAATAATCATACAGTTGAATCGACAACTCTCAACTGATCATAACCTTCACGATGGTAGGATTTACTGTAGCTGGGTTTATCTAATAAACTACCACTTGTATATTAAAGTGTATATTAAAAACAGTGTTTTCAAATGTTATCCACTAGACAGCAGTAGAGGTTTAAGTATGATCAGTATGAGCTTCCTGACTATTTGACACTGTACACAGAATTGGTTCAGTGATGCAAACCAGGCAACATAAACAGGCAATACACTTATTTCATTCTTCCTCATATTTCTAAAGCATTCTCATAAACAAAGCGTTAGACCATCATTAAAACCAATGAATTATTTTCCCCTGAATAAATTCATGATTAACATGCCCCACATCTATACATCCATATATCCAAACTTAACCCAACTCCCTCATCAAAAGGGGAAAAAAGAATAGTAAACATGATATACTCTACTCTTCATGTACACACCTGCACACAAACCTGTCCAAATACAGGCAGACATTCATGCATGTGTGCACCAACATAAATCTTCACATGCACATACAGTGCACTTATCAGTTTTGTGTGTGGATTTTTGACCCTGTCTCACAGGACAGACCTGCCCCTGACCTAAAAGACATAGTAGCCCTGGCTAATACACAGTTGGCCAGATTTACTGTCAGATTGGCTCATGCAAGTCGATCAAACAGTGCTTGGATCCACTGTTAATGGTTTCCCCATGTGTCCAAATATACAGCATAGCCTTCCAAACCAGCGACCACTCTATTCATCAGTCTCTGAAAAATGGCAGGCACATTTCATAGACCAAATGTAGTCACCATGAGTAAAGGCCTGAAGGTGTTTTGAAAGGGGCAACTGAGACTTCCAAGTTCTTGAGTCGACCCTGCATGATGCAGTCATCAGGGACATTCACATCCTCTTTTATATCCTGCCAGAAAAGATATTGGGTATACATCTCCCATTGGGGCTGCCACTGCCACTGGCTGAATCACCGCTAGACTTCATGCAGAAGTAGTGGTGGGTAAATTAAAAACAGAGCCTGAGGACCAGCACTCTGGTGACGCAGCTGGACAGTCACAGAAGTGTCTCTGAGCATATTGTTCTTGCCACACTAATGCACAAAAATAATAAACTAAAACAATAAACATGACCAGTCACCCAGTCCACATTTCTTGTGCCTTTCCTCAGTGTAGTTAGGTCTATCCAATAGCACTGCTTGCTCTGACACACACCAGACTACATCGATTGCATAGGCCTGTGGTGGGGACAGTATACTGTACGAAACCTCTCAAACTCAAATTAAAACCACTATGTGTGAATCTCCCTTTGACATTACTGCTTACAGATGGCAGCAGAGCAAAAAAAAAAACACACACGTAAAGGCTCTCCCCAAGGTGCATTGCAAGTATTCACCAAGTAAGAGAAATACCCGTAATCACCCAACTTCTGAGGAAACACTAACAAGACATTTTCTAAAGAAATTTGTTACTAACTTGGCTCAGGCTTGTAACAACATAAGGAATCCGCACACATAAAAGTCTTTTAATTTATAGGAAAACAATATGGAGTGTTAAGATATGAATGTAGTCAGAAGTGTAAGGCATATATGGCTGTAACACTGAATGAGTAATATTATTATATTATTATTTCTGAGAGCTGAGACATTCACCCAGTCTTAAGGTTTTCGTTAAATATCGATCAGCATGCATCATTAGTATGGTATGGTAATACCACAGAGTCTTTTTCTCATGCTCTGTGTTCTAAAAGTGGACCACTGTGATGTGGTTTATTGCTGCAAGCTGGTGGGTTGTGTGACATCATTCTTCCTGCAAAAAGTTGTATTAACTCCCAGTTAAGAGTCCCATTTTATAATGTTGTATCTGTGTATCTAATCTATGCAATAAAATAACTCATTACAGATTTTTATACAAGCCTTAAGGCTAAACTTATGTTTATGTAAACATTGCCACATGCACATATGTTGTGAACTGATAATACTGCTGACCTGTTGGTCCTTTTGATTTAGCTATTCAACCTTTTGTATCTTTCTAGATAAATATAACATCACTGTGCAATATAGATAACTAATTTTGCAAATTGAACAAAAGCAGAACCTCCCTCCTTCCTGTAACAAAACCACAAATATGCTTCCCTCAAGACTGAGAGGCTGAGACTCAGAGACCCAATTGCTTATTTCCTTAAACTGCAGCCTGCCAGGTAGCACATAACACAAGATGCAATGCCATTTCAATGGAACTGTGCTGATCAGTGTGCTCCCTCCACTGTTGGTGACAGAATTTGTTTTGGGAATCATCGGCAATGGCTTGGCTCTCTGGATTTTCTGCTTCCACATGAGACCCTGGAAGAGCAGCACGGTGTTACTCTTCAACCTGGCGATGGCTGATTTTCTGCTCAACATGGCTTTGCCTTTCCGTGCCAGCTACTACTTCTCTGAGCTCAGGTGGATGTTTGGAGACCTTTTCTGCAATATCTGCCTCTTCATGCTGTCACTGAATCGCAGTGGAAGTACCTTCTTCTTGATGGCTATCGCTGTGGACAGGTACATGCGTGTGGTGCATCCCCATCATCCCATCAACTCTTTGAGTGTCTCGAAAGCCATGTTTGGAGCACTTGCGATATGGTTACTCACAATTTCAATAACCGTGCATATCTTCACTTTACGACATGACAGCAAATCCTACTGTGAAAGCTTCATGATTGAGACAAAGCCCCACCGCAACCTGACTTGGCATAGGTTTGAGTTTCTCTTTTCCTTCTACGTGCCTCTGTTTGTGATACTCTACTGCACCATCCACATTTTTAGCCACCTGAGAGGGAGACAGCTGGCACAGCAGACAAGGATCAAGAAAGCTCTGTTCTTCATCTCAATAGTAGTGGTGCTCTTCATCTTTTGCTTCCTCCCGAGCAACATGACACAGCTACTGATATGGATCAAAATCCAAAAGGTAACCAGCAGCCTCCACGAATCTCAAGTCTGCCCTGCCATGGAGGACCTGACGAAAGCATTTTACATCACCATTAGCCTGACCTATCTCAACAGCCTGTTGGATCCTGTGGTCTACTACTTCTCCAGCACTGCCTTCAAGAACATCTGCCGGAAAGCTCTTCATCTGCCCCAAGTGTACACTGTTGACAGTACAGAGAGGAAAACTCGGGAAACAGGCTCCCAGTCTCTCAGCCAGCTGTGATCACAAAGCCAAAATCAAGGAAACAATTATAAGATGCAACTAGCAAACAAGCTAAAGATTCTAATTTAAAGTGACCCATTTCTCCCTATGCTGTCATGTGAATGCTATAGCCAGCAAGATATTTTTACTTCTCTTATAGTTATCAAGTATAAATTGATTGCACTTAAAAAAAAAAAAAAAAGAATTGTCTTTGCAAACATATGCTTGTAAAAAAAACTGTGTGAAAGTGAAGCCATTATTGTTGAAGAGAAGCCTTGTACAAGTGATAAAATCAGCAAATTGGCTAAATCATGTTACTGCGCAATATCCACTTACATTAACTCATATTTAACAAATGTAAGCTACTGCTCATACCAGGCTGCAAAGCTCCTGAATGTATTGAACTGGGCAATTTAACGTCTCATGTGGGAAAGGAAGAATGACATCAGTCAGACATTTTTTCATACTTCATACTTTTTCATGTCAAACAAATAAAGATTTTTATCCTCATTATAGCAATGTGGCATGTTCTCCTGGATTATTTCATTTGAAGTTCACATAACATGAAATGCATACAAGCTCTTATACATAGACTAAGTACAAATATGTCACTACAAAAAATGAGTGTCATAAACCAATATAATGAATAATAATAATAATAATGAATAAAGCACATTATAAATATGCAGTAAAAGGGGTTTTATTCTGGTTAAAATAAATTCTGGCGTCTGACCCCTTTGACCCAGTTAACACCAATAAGTATAGATGATTAAAATGTCTTGGTTTCCCTGAAAGGCAATTCATAAATATAACTGCATGACACTTGAGAACAAACATTTCCTTAATATTTAGATGGCTGCACAAGGCACGCTGACAGCCATCTACAAAGCAGAAGTGGTCTCACAGACTTCATGAACATGACAGTGTGCTCACTGTACTAAAATAGCCTCCCCAGACAGCAGTAGAATGGCAGTACAAATGTGCAGCTGACAAATCTCAAAGGAAAGTTTCCAACATCTTGTGGAATCCATGCCACGAAGAACTGAGGCAGATTGAAAGCAAAGAAAGGGCCTGACCCAGTATTAGTATGGTGTTCCTAATAAAGAATGTAATTATAAACAATCTGGGAGGTAATAAACTAAGAATGGATTAAAAGATGTTGATTTTTGATCTGCTGCTTCTAAAAAAGTTTTTCCCAAAGAATTCCTCCACACAATTTTCAATAATGAAGCATTTATTCAAATATTACACGAACAATTGAAAGATAAATGTCAAGTGCAAATATTGCATCTTAGCCCAAGACGGTGCAAGTAAGATTATATAAATACAGCTGAAAGCATAGTGTCAGTTCATCCTGAAACTCCATTTTCCATGTTGAGAAACTCCTGAAAACCACATTACAGAAGCAGAATTACAAGTCTGTTATGTTTCTATCACAGTAATCACAGGGATGTAATAGTGAAACAGAAACGCTATGTAATCTGAACTAATAAGATGAATATAGCTCCTTGAATGAATATAACATAGATTCAATTTTAATGTCATCAAACACCAGGTTAACTCTTGTGGTGTGGCGTTTCTCCCAGACTAAACCGGCGCCAGGATATCATCTTCAGTTACCTTCAGGCAGCTCGGTGAAGGTGAGCGGTTTGTCAGCGTCTTCCCTCTTTGATGCTCTCTGTGTTTCATGTAATCATGAATGAGTGAGTCAGCATCGTCCTGGCTGAGGAGCACATTAAAAGAATCTGATGTGAAGGACTCAAATCATACATTTGAAAAGGTCTACATTAAATTTCAAGCCCTATATAACCCAAAAACTACATCAATAACTTAAAATGAAATTAAACCAAATACTGAAACAACATTATAGCTCAATGAGAACCCAGAGCACAGTTCGTTCAGTTTTCCTGCCTACAGGGATGAAGTTGACTGAGAAAGGCTGTTCCTTTAAATGTTGGTTAAATTTAAAGCATCACTCACCACAGAAACACCAGCTATAGCAGAAACAATGCAAACCATAATTAGTATCGTAACTAACATATTATTTCTATGTTTTTTAATCTGTCAGAACGTTGCCATCCATGATTGATTAACTATTCTCTACTCACTGTCCTGTACCTCTTAGTTCTACTGACGCGCAAAGACAAACAGAAAGAGAGAAAGAGGGAGGGAGGGAGAGGCAGGTTTTATATCAGAAGATGTGGACACGTCACCATAAATCAGTTCTCAATTCCAGTTTATGGTCAGTGAGGTCGGTGAGTGATGTGGTAAGAGCAATATGTCAGAGGAATATTAAATGAATGCAAATGTGTTAACGTTCACACCAAGTCACTATGTCAGTTTTTCTTCATCAACTTAGATCAGAAATGTTTATGTTGCTTTCCTCTGATATTTTGTGTTGGAAAAAAATAACAAATGAGATAAAGAAATACGTACCAGTTCTGGCTGATCAGGTAGTCCACCAGGCTTTTCACCTGGTTAGCCTGGCCACTTGACACCATGAACTGCTTCAGATACTTGAAGTGTTTGGTCTTCAACAGTTTCTGGTGCTGACCATTTTGGCTGATGAACGTTAATACAGTCTCCCTGACCTGAGGGGTCATTAAAGGTAAAAATGTAATGTCATATAATAATGTGATACAGTAAAAATGAAATGAAAAGAAACGGCAATAAAAGTTGCACCAGACATCCCTTTTCTTTACATTTATAGTTTCCAGCAGCACACGCTGTTACACACATTCAATATCTTTACACCATCAGATCCATCTAACATTGTTTCCTGTTTACTAAGACTTAGCTACAGTTACCCAGAAACATCAAAGTTTACAAAATATGTAAATATGCAATAGATATACAGTACATACACTGTATATGCTTGGTACATAATATTCAGTCACAGGAACTGTTACAACAACAGCGGTGTACTCCATTATATTTAAAATTGAATTAAATTATTGATTAAAATATGTTAAAAAATGTATGTGTGGTTGCTATTTAAAATACATGAAAAACGGAGACAGTGAAAGCTACAGCTGAAAATACAAAGGATCAAAGATGTGGAGGTGTTGAAAGTGTGAGTGTAAGTGCTGAGTCATGAAAGCAGCTGAATTGTCAATTTGTAGAGCGAAAGATGAAAGTAGTTGAAATTCACATTTAACCTAAATTCACATCTAACCTGTGAGGGGATTCCAGCCAATTCCCCAGTGTTCATAAGATCTTCCACCTGCTCAAGGACGGTGACCGGGTTACAGACAGACAAGAAGCCCTGGGAACAGCAAGAAGACAATAATGGTCGGGACAGTGTGATTGTAATTAAGAGTCACAGATCTTCCAAAAGGTTATTTCTAACATGTTGTATTAACATGGACACACTCACCTGGATCTGCTGAGCCTTTTTGTCGGCACAGGGGATAAGAAGGAGAGTTCCCAGGGCAAAGGCAGGCAGATTGAACTGTGCGAAGCGATTGGCAATTCCTATCAGGTCCAGATTCAACAGGAAAGGGCACCTTGGGAAGAAAGCACCACATATACAAACAATGTCACGTGCAGACAAATACTGTTGTGTACAGATAAGCAGCACAACAGATAGAATATATATAAGGCGTCAAGCTGAAGCTAATTTGCAGCCCCTATCCCTGGTTAGGCTTTTAAATAGTAAATGACTGAACATGAATAAAGCGTACTTGATGAGGAGAACAAAGGTCCTGTAGAGTGTTGCCTGTTGATCAGGACTCAGAGGAACAGAAGCTGTCAGCAAGAAACAGATAAGACAGTCAGCACTGAAGAGCTACAGTGAACAATGACAACATGTATATCATCAAAAATGCAAACACAGTAATAATGATGATACATAATGATCAGATACCATTTCTGTGGATTTCTGGACATATTTCTATAACTGAATATTGCCATTCAGCATCAATTATTCTACCAAAAATGTTGTATAATAAAACATAAGTCAGCATCAAGACAAATAAATCCATGTTGTTTGTGAACAGACTTGAATTTGAGTGTTATAAATCAAGTACCTGAGACAAAAGGTGCCAGTATCATACTCCTCCAGGTCCTGGAGAAACTAGCAATCTGGGAAAAATACAGAATAAAAGAAACACTATCTTAGAAGTGTATCTTCATTATCACACATTTTTCCAGGTCATATTTCAGCAGTGATGTTTTTATTTTAAGCTTCAACAGGATATCCGGTGGTATACTGGTAAAGAAGCATGTCATTTAGCTGCAATAGTTGAATTCTGGCCACATCAAACACAACTGCCCCAAGCGGCTGAATATCAGAGCAGTGGCTCTCTATGAGTCATGTTTATTTTGATGTTATTTTACTAACAATTAAGACAATCATACACTTTGGGACTACATTTTACTGAATGCATTAAAATAACACAGGAAATGCAAACAAGTTTCAGTTCTTTCAAGTAATGAGCTGTTACCTCCCACAGAGCAGGCACACCCACTACTGCCTCTAACACCTTCTGGAGGTGACTGATCTGAAGAGAGGAAACACATATATGCAAGTTTTTTTTCAAAACACATAGCTGAGCCGTCTTTATTTAATGTATTTATGTATGTTGAGCAGTCCATCCCTATCAAGAATTTTACAAAACCTGGAAATAAACTAAAGACAGACACATCACATGAGTGAGATATTGTGTTTAATTTTCTTTTACTTCTTGAAACTGAGAACTTCCTTGTGCATGTCTCCTTACCAAGTTGAAGCCAAGCAGCTTCTGAAGCAGACTGTTCCACAGTTGGGGGTCGTACACCTGATACTCCAAACACAGGTCTGCCACCAACCGCACTGCCTGAAATGAGGTGGGTGAGTTTGTGTGCAAACAGCCTGCGTGCTGTGTGTAACATTTCTCACCTAGTGAAGCAAAAATAGAGTAGCTGCAATAGTTTTAATGTCAGAAAGTACCTGTGGCTCATGACTGTGGTTCTTCCACAACCCTTTAACCAGGCCTTCTTTGGGACTACTGAGGAAAGACTGCACCGTGTAGGGGATGTTTAATGCCTCCAGTTGGGAGACAAACATATAGCACTTCAGGTAATATCTGCATGGAAATATAAAATGCAGAGGCATTGCTGAAAATCAACAAATCAACATAAATCAACTTCAGTTCATACAGTTAAACAGTTATCATGCCCTCATACTGGATTTTGGTCCTGGGGATCTGTAACCGAGCCTCCAGAGTGTCTGAATCGGTGAG